TTTTTTTTCCTGGAAGTATAAAGTGTAAATTATATTCATATGCATGGAGTTGATTGGTAGTTATAATCCTCTATTTTGATCTACCTAATTTCTGTAATACAACTTTGGCTTTTTTGGGGTGATACTCTTTACTCTAGTTTGCTGTTCATTTTGTCTCTTATTCTAAAGAAGTTTGTGTTTGATGGTCAAATATTTGCAGCTTCTGAAGCCTGCTTTTACTATTATAAGTGATCATGGCAACAAATGTTTCCTTTTATTGATTCGGGGTACTCACAGTATCAAAGATACACTAACAGCAGCAACTGGTGCCGTGGTGCCTTTTCATCATTCTGTATTACATGATGGTGGGATAAGCAATTTAATTCTGGGATATGCTCATTGTGGGATGGTAGCTGCAGCTCGTTGGATAGCTAAACTTAGCACTCCCTGCCTCATCAAAGCTCTAAATGATCATCCTGATTATAATATCAAGGTAAGCAATGCATTTAGTGACTATATGTCTATGTTTGTGTGTTATATATTGGATCTATATGTTCTACACGCCTTTGGACATTTGTGCATGTATATATTTGTGGGTTTTAATTTACTGGTTATATGGACATTTAATTGATAGTTATTTTTTACTTGAAAGTAAAATAATGTAACTCCTGGTTGCGCTTACATCCTTAACTGATGTACTGAAACTTGTGAAAACGATCTAACTAGTTGCTTACAGAGTATATATATGTTGTGATTGATGTTTCTAAAGGGTTGAGGGGCTTCCTTTTGTGTTCCAGGTTGTTGGTCATTCCCTTGGTGGTGGAACTGCTGCTTTGTTGACGTATATTTTTCGAGAACAAAAGGAGTTTTCCTCTAGTACCTGTGTATCATTTGCACCAGGTACTTATCTGAACCTTTTTTGAGTGCCATAAAATGTATCTTGTGATTTTTTTTTTTTTTTTTTTTTCCTTTTCAAGCTGTCCTTTATGTTGAGTGCTTGTTTCATATAATAAAGCATAATAAGTGGCACAAAATGAAGAGTTTCAAAAAATATATAATTATCTTTATTCATCTGGATGTATCCTCCATCCTTGAATCATAAGCCATAATTGATTATGAGGTTGTTTTTAAGTAATCAAGTAAAAATTCCATAACTATTCTTCACAATTTAAAATTCTCACTTCTCAACCATAACCATAAACGAGTCTTTGTTTTAACTCCTGGTTAAGGGGCATCATTAACCAGTAAAATGGGAATGTTCAGTTTATAAGAGGCCTACTTTTTGGGGAATTGGGGGATGGCCTAAATTAAAAGTGTGCGTGCGTGCGTGTCTGTGTGTGTGTGTGTGTGTTTTTTTTAATGAGGGACCAAGGGAGTACTTTGTTAAATTCATGTAGTTGCTTAACAGTGGAGTCCATTCTTGCAGCTGCATGTATGACGTGGGAATTGGCAGAATCAGGCAAGCATTTCATTTCTACAGTCATCAACGGTGCTGATTTAGTGCCAACATTTTCAACTACATCTATTGATGCTCTTCGTTCTGAGGTGCTAAAATCTCTTCATGCTTGTCTTCATACTTAACTATATTTCTATATTGCTTCTTGTATCAACATGGCTCAAACTTTTGACTTGTGAGCAGGTCACTGCATCATCTTGGTTAAATGATTTACGTGATCAAGTTGAGAGAACAAGAGTCCTGAATGTCGTCTACCGCTCTGCTTCAGCCATAGGATCCCGTACACAATATATAGCCACCACTGCTAAGGCTAGGGTTGCTGGTGCTGGTGCTCTTTTTCGTCCTGTCTCCAGTGGCACTCAGGTAATTATTGGATCGATTTGTAATAGATTTATGAAGAAGTCAGCTTATGTCATGGGGGCTAATAGAGCTTCATATTCATGATAAAAAAGGAAAAAAGATCAATTTTTCATTTGCTATCCTATCAGATCTCTATAGATACTTGAAATTACACGACAAAGCAAACCATGCTTATTCACTAGGTAGCATAGGAAGATAAATAGGTTTGGACCTTGTGTACACAAATTACTTTTCTGTCTTTGCTTACTTATCTAGCTCTTGATCCTAAATATTCGTTGGGTATTGTGAAACCCTTTAGAACATGTCTATCATAGCTTGATAGCTTGATAGTACCTAACTACCTATTGGGTGCCTAATGCAACCTTTTTTTAGGGAAAAAAGCGGGGCTGGGGGAGTGCTCTAATGCTGACTACCCTAGATCTTCCATAATTAACATTTTACAAGTTGGTCTCGCCAATGCATGCAAAAGTAATCTGAATGTGCTGAGACCTAAATGAGTACTTGTTTCACTATAGAGGAAAAGATATCCATTTCTAGCCTCTTGATGTCATATGAGTTTGTTTGCTTGTGTGTTGTGTCTGCTAAAGTTCCATAACATCTTTCTGTCCACTTTTGCCAAAAGTTTGGACCTAATGCCCATATTTGAATTCCACAAGCATTTGCAAATCGCAATTTTGGTAGTTGCAAATGTTTGCTATATAGTCAAAGTGACTTTGACTTTTTGATCCTAGTGGTTCAAATTTAAATGGCTCGATTATCCTCTTTCTTGTTCTTTGTGAAAATTTATGGTGTGTTTGGTAAGGAAATGGGAAAGAAAAGAAGGGGAGGGAGGTGAAGGGGAGGGAAGAGAAAAGGAGGGAAGGGAAGGGAAGAAAGATGAGTTTTCCTTCCAAATCTCTCCATTGTTGGAGAGACAATTTTTTACTATTTAATCCCTCCATTTCTCTCCCCTCCAATTCCCTTCCTTCCTCATTTGTTATCCAAATAAAAGATAAACCATCCCTCCATTTCCTTTCCCTTCTTTTCCCTCCATTTCCTTCAATCCAAACAAAGTGTTAAAGTAGCTAACTGCAATTGCGATTTAAAAGGGTCAAATTTGGAAAAAAATAATTTAATTGTTCAAGTAGATTATGTGGCTGTTTATAGCTTTATATCCAACCCCCTGCCCCACTCAGAGTGCGAGCTTTTTTTAGAGGCATTGGAGGGTAATGGGGATGCACAAAATATCTAGCTAATAGTGGGTGATTGACTGAAAGGTCACCAAAAAGTATTGCCCACTGAGTAATAAATTGTGGTTGGAGATTTCAGGAGAAAAGTAGGCTTTAGCTTATTCATCATTATGTATGTGTAGGTTGTGATGAGGCGTGCTCAGGATGTTGCACAAGCCGTTGTCCGTACCCGTCCAACCTTGTCTTCGTGGTCTTGCATGGGAGCGCGCCGTCGGAATGTGGGTCAGTCCATAAACCTGAAAGAGGAGGATATGGCTGAGGCCTCATTGATTACTACCACCAGTACATCAGAAGTTCTTGTGACTGAAGTATCTTCTAGAGACATCGAAATGCATGATGGTGATTACAACTTTTCAAGTGAAGGTTCGGGACACGAAATTGATACAGAGGAAGAGGAAGAGGAAGAGCAACTTCTGGCAGCAGATAAAGATATAACCACATCAACAATGGAGGCTGTGACTGAAGGTGAGCTGTGGTATCAGCTACAGAAGGAACTCAAGAAACAAGAGGAAGCTCAGGCTCAAGTTGAAGCGGAGGAGGAAGAAGCTGCCACCGTTAAAGAGATTACTGAAGAGGCACATGTGTTGGCTGATGCTGTGGAGGATAAGCAACAGATTTCCACTACAGACATTCAAGAGAATCATCAGTTTTACCCACCAGGACGAATCATGCATATGGTATGTGCTCGTTTTTCCAATGATGCTAGTTCAGGTGACAACGATGCCGCCGAGGAACATGTGGGTATTTACGAGACACCTAGACATTTGTATAGTAAAATTAGATTAACAAAAATGATGATTAATGATCATTATATGCCAATGTACAAGAAAACGATGGAACAGCTTATCAATGAACTTGAAAATGACCAAACACTCAAGTGATACAAAAGAAAATTAAATCAATACCATATGTTTATATATGTTGGAAATCTCCTCAAAGGATTATACCTCTTGCTTATGTTTGATGCACCGTTCAAGCTATTAGTATTGATAGAGATGTCCTTTTTAGTTTTCCGACGATTAACACTAACAACGAAACATGTATTTAACAAAGACATCCTGACATTAACCAACAATCAGAATCCCTTGCACTATATTTAAACCAGCTCAACTAGAGGAAGTGTTGATTTCTCCAACTGATGAAGATTCAAACAAGAATAGTCCTTGTGCCTTGACCATGCAAAGCTGAAAAACCTCTTGAGAATAAATAGATCTATGCAATAAAAACTCTTACCTTCCCAAGTTCCCAATTTGCAATTGTTGTTATCTCAGGTGAGAAGAAACACATGATTTCTTGTGCAATCTGTTTGCTTTCGGTTACTATAAAAAAAACTAAAGCTACAATTATATTAGTGCCACAATAATTTGAAGTGCTGATCTAAATCAGCTAGATTCATTGACCGGCTCAACTGAAATCAGTAAATGCACCACCAATATTGTGATCGCTCCCATGGCATCACTTCAAATGACAGAAAATCTTCTTGAGCACAAGTTTGAAGACACCAGCGCCAGATACATAGCAAAACGGACTAACAGCTTGTTTGGGTAATGTTAAGGGAAGGAAAAGAAGGGGAGGGAGGTGAAGGGGAGGGAAGGGAAAGGAAGGGGAAGGAAAAATGATGAGTTTTCTTTCCAAATCTCTCCATTGTTGGAGGGATCATTTTATTAGAATTTAGTCACTCCATTTCTCTCTCCTCCAATTCCCTTCATCCCTAATTTTTTATCCAAAAGAAAGAAACCCCCTCCCTCCATTTCCCTTCCCTTCCTCTCCCTCCATTTCCTTCAATCCAAACACACTAAATGATTCGATTGAGGAATTGATCACAGAACCTAGTTCCTGCAAAAGTGTAGTTGGGAATTGGGGATAGCAGAATCCACCATCTTCCTGTAGAATCATATATGCTCACAAATACCTTTTTCGACCTGGAATTTTTACTATGCTTATACAACACTTCATCCCTATATAGACTGCATCCATGCATATGAAAACGTCTGATTTATTATGACATTTTAAGCGTTTAATGTGGTTAAATGCCTAACAGTATGTTCTATCCACAAGAAATAAGTTTTACACTGTTACACTGCTCAGATTTTGCAAGTTCCCAAACCTAAAGTTACGGATCCTAATCGAATACAGTTTTAAATAAATTATAAATGCTATTGGGTCGTATTATCCTGATCAGCTCAACCACCATAACGAGTCTTCAGGGATTCTGGAGGCTCCTCTTCCATTATACCTGCACCTGCTGTTGCCAGGTACTGACGAATGGTTGTCTGACAATCAGCAAGGTATGTATGATCTAAGAAATTGTTGTAAGCTGCATCTCCAAGATTCTTTGCTGCTAAAACACTGCATAAATACATCATCAGATCACGGGATGACCTTAACTATACAAAGAGGCAACATCATGACATCTTCAACTCTTCAAGCCAGATATAGGATACCTAAAACCTTACCAATGGCGCAGATAATTTCGACAAGGAAAAACATCATCCCTCCATATTTTATCTATGTTATATTGCCCATAATGCTGATGGTATACTTCTTTACTTCCTGCACTTGTACTTGACAGAGTGAGTTTCAGTTCTGAAAAACAGTGACTCCGACTCAACATAATTGATTATGATTATTATTATGCGTATAATGTCATCAAAACATGAACTGTAAATAAGCAGCTAATTTTGAAATTGGCAGTTTGTTATGAACTAGAAAAGCGAAAACCAGACTCTAGACATTTAAGATATAAGTGAGATGTGTGTATCATTCAATAAGGATTGTAGAGGGAAAGGACACAAAATAGAATTCAGAACTATGGACTAACAAATACAGAGGAATATTACCTTTACATCTTACATTGAAAAATTCCTCATCACTGTATCGAGTACAGAGAACCTACATATTTTCCAACAAGAATAATTGTCGATCAATAATTTTTGATTTGTGAACTGAAGATCAAAGATTCAAACATACCGCTGGATTCTCAAAAGGCTTCCCTTTTATTGTTTCTGGCAGGACCTGCAAAAATGACACAAGGTATTGTGTATTCAGATATAAGAATGATCTGGGAACTAGATCATCAGTATTAAGAAAAAACAATCATACTTCATGACATAGGCTCTCAACTTACAGCTAAAAATCGGAACTCAAGCTCCCTCTCCATAAAATAAGGCACCTGAATTCATCAAATTGACGGACTAAATAACTGCCATGTGGTTATAAGAAAATGTATTGGAGAATATACACAAAGAGAGGCATTGATTATCCTATGTACCTCTGACTTTTGAATTTCAAACACAGTAACTATGAGCTCCTCTCCTTCACAAGGCTCCACACTTAAACTTGAGATCTCCTGATATGTTTATAAATAATCTATTAGCATATTGCGCAAGAAATTTATGAGAACAAAAAATAAGCCAAACTAAACATGAACCTATCAGGAAGAAAAGTGAGGCAACAAAATATGTTTTGTTCAGGAAAACAGGAGGTAGGTTGGACTACAGTTAGCATCACCCAATAATACCTATGTTCTCTTCTGACTGTCCTAGTTTGATTACCCACTAATCTCACAGTACTACAGTACTACTTAGAACATAGCCAGGCTACTCGTATTTCTTATGCACAACCTTTGCTGATTTCAATGAAAATTTCCTTAGGTATTTGCAATAAATATATATTTCTAAGTACAGTTTCATTTGATGAACCATCTATCTAAGTAAATCAGCAGCAAAAACGAAAACCAGAAATATAAATGGGCTGAATGGTACCGAAGGAGAAGAACAGCAAAAATATGACAAAATCAACTAAGAAAATATAAAATTGAAGTTAAGAACAATGAAAAGCGATGTAAAGATCGAAATGACCTTGGTCTCAGGCTTTGCAATGCCACGTTCGAAGAAGATAGGAGCGACATGAGCAAAAACCCTCCTAAAACCTTTCAATCGCGCTATCCTAAAGTTAGACAATTCAGGAAATGTACTTCTTGCACTCCTCTCTGCTCAAAACCAATACCATTATCATCACACTCACAATCAAGGATTAAGCTTCAAATATTGATTTGACAAATTGAGATTATATATTAAAACCGAAATATCAAAAATCATGGCCATCTTTTTGCTATACCAAATTACCAATATCATTTTATTGAACTTTGCTCTAAAGTAAGCCATAAATCAGCATTTAATTGGAGTAATATTTGAGTAAAAGTGATTATTAGGTGAAATACATGAAATGGTCTTAAAAAAATGTTCTAATAAAATCCAACATTATGATTAGCAATGATCATAAGAAATAAAACAAAATATGAACTACAATTCCATATGTTTTTACTTTCCACCATGCCCGCAATGATGTTAATATCCGATATTGATCAATCTCAGACAAATGAATAGTAAAATTGCTAAGTCAAAACCACTAATTCAGTTACTTCCTCACCCACAATCAAGTTAAAATATTATCAGAACTTTATTAGTATCACATATAATTACAGGACCTCCAATTGACTAACATAAGAAAAGTCTGAACCCCACCAAACAAAACCCAGAAAATATACAGGAAAAAGATAGAATTTTGGAGAATAATTGAAATGAATTTTTACCAGAAAGAAGAGACCCAAATCCGCAAATGGAGATATATCCTCTAGGAGAGGAAATCGCATAAAAATCTGACATTACATCAAGCTGAAAAGGCTTAAATTGATCAGTTGAAATGGATGATGAGAATGAAGAAGCAGCCATAATCGTCTGATTTCGATTAAAATTAGTGCTAACAACAAGATGGGTGAATGGATTATTTTTTTTATTAGTGCTAATGATGGATTTAGGAGTTGGGATTAAGATAGATTTTGAAGGGATTTGAGGAAGTAATTGAATTTGAGAATTGAGAGTGAGAAATGACGAGAATACTGTCATTTTCTACGTAATATTTCTTTTGACTCACCACTCAACATTTGTTCTACTAGTAAGTTTAACGTATCAAATTCTAAGGTCAGTTTTTTCTTTTTCTTTTTCTTTTCTTTTTTCTCTCTCTTTTTTTTAAAAAAAAAATAAAATCCAAAAGTGCATACCTAAGAATTGCATCAAATTGAAGATGTAACTTTTCTTTTTATTTTTTTTAAACGATAAATGAAAGTGTAAATCTATGGAAGTGGTTTTGGCATATTATTTCCCCACGGATTTTTGTAAGAAGGTTTGATATAATTATATAAGTTATTTTATCCGTTTCTCATCTTCAGATTAGAACACCTAAATTAGCATGGATAAAAGAGTTGAATATAGGGGCAATGGAAAATCATTTCTTGTAATTAAGGAAGAAAATTAAGTGAATTAGCTGAATTGATCATACATTTATACAAGGATTCCGAGTCAATTGTTTTGTGAAATCAAAGATTATTAGAATGATCTAAACTTATTGTTTATACATAGACTACCCTAGCCTCGGTTCCAAGCAAACTTAGTGAATTGACTCCAAAGGTAAGCATCCTAAACGGATTAGATCATGAAGAATATGATGTCTAATCATGAAGAATTATATGAACAAGTCAACACTACAAAAAAAAAAAAAAAAAAAACCCTCTATCCTTCCCAAGTTAGAAACCAGCCCAGCCAGCTGGTTGAGAAGCTGTAGTCTTGCTGGCTAACTTATTTGGATGTCCAATATGTTGGGAAGTATTGCCTTCGCCAGGTCTAGATGTCCGAAAGCTGGCAGCAAGAGCTGCAGTGAGTTGTCGTTGCCAAATCCCCATCCATCTTCGGATAATCCAGCCGAATCATCTTGCTTGCTGGAGTGGCCATTCCTAGTCCCAGCAGACTTGGAAGGATCAGCTACAGATGTTGGGGTATTGGTATTGTTGCCAAAGGCTTTGTTTCTGGGCCTGTTGGATCCTTGTCAAATAGACCTTGTTGGAGCTCCCATACCGTGCCTTCAATTTTTGCTCTCTGATGTGATCGAAGTCAAAAAAAAAAAAAAAAAAAAAAAAAAAACACAAGGAGTTTTGCACAATTACATGCACAAGGAAAGACAATCAAGTATACTCGCAACTATTTATATTCTACAATCCTACATTTCCACATAAAGTGGTCACCAAAGGTGTTTAAGCAAGATCTATGCCTTGCCTTACGAGTAGCACGTTAATTTGTAAATACTCGAATTACCTGAATCATCTGATCAGTATTTTGAATTGTTGGTGAATTTTTTTGTTATTGTAGTAATACGACTCTTAACTCATAACGTTCTCTTTACTATCACTAGTTAGAAAAACAACTCTCCTTACTACAGTATCAAAAGGGGAATCCATCCACTTGGGGTGGGGTGATACCTGAGAAGTGGGGGCTTGGTTTCTGGAGGATGACTGGTTTCTTGCAGCCTCCTTTTGTGGTGATGGAGTCCCAACAGCCAAAGCCTGCTTCAGCTCCTGTAATTCATGATGCTGTGATCGACAAATTGTTGCAAGCTTCTCATATTTTTAGGTAATCCCTGCCTTTTCTGCATTAACTTGCTTCAATTGCTCCCGTAGTCTATCTATCTCAGCCTCCAAGGTGCTGTCTTTCCCCAATTTCATGCCATTGCTGGTAATTCATGATTGATGCTTGATGAATAAAGCACAATGTAGGCATTCAAAAGAGTTAGACGCCCCCATTACTCATTGTGAGAAACGTTTTTGTTTCTCACAGTGGCAGTCGTAAATAAAATGTACCACTGTAGTCACGGTGGTACATTTTATTTACGAAATGGATGATAAAATTGTACCACTTTATTCACGGTGGTACATTTTATTTACGAAACTGCCACTGTAAGAAACAAAAACGTTTCTCACAATGAATAACAGAGATTTATTGTTTCTCGAAATCCGATCCCTTATGGAGTTTTGGGCCTTATCTTGATCTTTTATATGAATTCCTATCATTCTCCATAATTTTTGCTCTTAAGCAAGTCAAATATCAAAATTTCGATCAACCAATAAATTCATATTTTTGCCGAAAAGGACATGTGACGATCAATTATTGAAAAGCTCTTGAAATGAACTTTAATTTTCAATTTGAATCACCTTCAAGCGTTAACATCTCTAATGGTTTATTATATAGACTTGCTTGCAAATTTAAAAAGTATCAAAGCAGTATTTTGACCATTGGAACAACATTGGAAGACCTACTTCAATGAGCAAGAAAATTTGAATGAAATATTTTTTTTTTTTGTTATTATCTCAATTACGTTCTTTTTAAACATTTTAATTTTTTTTTTTTGAATAGCAAAAATATTTTATTAATTAAAAGTCATACGACATCTATAATAGAGATTCGACGTTAACAAATACATAAGATATTGAATCAAATAAAATTTTCCTTCATAAAAACTACGATTGTCGAGTAAATCTTGCACTATGGAACATCTCCCGCTTATATCGCTGGAAAATACAGCCATGTTGGAGAGACAATCTAACGATCATTTGTAGCCGTGAGGATGTTTTCCTTCTGATTCATCTGTCTGTATTCGAAAACTTGATAACTTTTTCACCAACGAAATAATTTCACGATAATTCATTAGATCTAATATCATGGATTCAAAACTAAGAAATTTTTCCTCCGAAAAGAGGAGATAAACCTTGTCTTTCGAAGGAGATTGAAATCCCTTTCTTTCGAGGGAGAAAAGATCCTCCCAAAAGGAGGAAGCATTATTATAAACCTAAAAAAATTTAAAGAAGCAAGGATTGGGGCTTTCCACCGGTTAAAACTGATACAAGCCCCTTCAAAATTCAACAATGAAGGTTAGGGTTTTGGAGAGAGGAAGGAGCAGAGAGGAGAAGAGTTGCTTGTTTCCATTAAAAATACCAAACATTTTAATTTTTTTGAATCAAAATTTGTTTTTTTTGTTGGTATTATTTGTAGATTAAAAAGGTTAACATATTATTTAAAAAAACATCTACAATCATCTATGATATACGACTAGTAAATAAAAAATCATTATACTATCCAATAATTTTAATAAAATATTAAACATAAATTAAAATAAATGATAAAAAAAATAAAAAAAAATAAAAAAAAAATAAAAAAATAAAACAATTGTTTGATGAGACAAGCTACAAGATTTTGTAGCCAACCAATGTGGAACTTTGTAGCTTGAAACCTTTGTAGTTTAAAAATCTGATGTGGCAAGACAAGCTATAATGTGTTGTAATTTGTCATTGGAGATGCTCTAATAAAAAATGATTATTTGAAGTTGAATTTTGTGTAAAAATCCTTCAATCATAATTTAAAAGTTGTATTTCAATTCGCTTCTTGGTACCCTTCTATGTTTTGCATGTGCGATGAAGACCTCCCAAGTCAAACCTACAACATCAAACACAAAGGAGCAATACCAAAGTGTAGAAAAGTAACATAGATAATTGTGGAGTAATATTTACAAAAGAGTTACAATTATCTCGAGTGTTCAAAATTAAGCAAAATAACCTATAAAAATGTTAAATGATAATGAAAAATGTAAAAATGATAATATATCAGTGGTTAATAATAGTGAAAATACCATTTATCATGGGCTACACATATTGTTTCTCTGAAAAATATTTGTACTTATGTTTTTACTTCCCAAATGAGCATATTCTTTAAGGATTAAGTTTTCCTAAAATGGACAGATAAGAATCTAAAAATAATTGAGCGAATGAAGAGTAATTGTTTGCGACTTTGTGAACCATTGATTTTAAAGAACGACATGAATACCATAAACTTGGTACAATTTTTCAGAAACTCAAAAACCAAGTAATAATATACACTCTATTCCTTTATATTATCTTCCTATTTACTTCTCACAATCTTCAATACACATCTTTGATAATTTTATTAAAAAGTCAGATCACTAAATTCTTTAATTGCAAATAAAAAAAATATATCGAAAAATTGATAGTTTAGAAATTCACATTAAGACGAATTAACAATATTACTCATAGTTTTTTCTTATACTTGTATATATTTCGATTAGAATTTACGATCATAGTTGAACTGATATCCTGAATAGGAAGAGCAAAAAGAAACAAATAGATTATTCTTAAAACATTGTCGTGGGAAAATATGTCGAAGGGACTATATGATTTACTTCAAAATAATGTGATTAACCAATTATGGTTAGTTATAACTCCCGTGGGAAAATCCATACAAGATGGCCCATCATATATATACATTATTATTATATAGTACATCTAGTGCAGTAAACTAGGAAAGTATACAACCAAAGAAATTATACGCATAGCTTTATCATTTCCCAAGTCCGACTAATCTATGTAATACCCTCTGATCACAAGACAGGAGCATCACAAGACACAAACCCGTGCGTCTACCCCCAAGGTGTTAGCCTATAAACTCGATGCTACAAACATATACTTCCTCCGTCCCATAAAGTTTGTCAGATTTTCTAAAATGCAGCCCATATATATTACTTATGGGTTTCAGAAAATGTGACAAATTTCATGGGATAGGATGGAGATAATTTGAGACTTACTTTACAGTTTTATGTCCTATCTGCACTTGATGGGGAGCTGAAGAGTTGTGGAAGTACATGCAGATGGCGGAGATGTGGTCCGCTGCTATGCCAGGCCTCTTAGATTTCCATGCATGAGCTGCGTATTTTACTAACCTCTTAGCAGATTTTTCTCTTGTTGGTGCTGAAGAAACTATCTGCACAGCTTCTTCGTTGGAGATAACATCCCACACCTGTATTAAATTTTTAAAAATAAAGAGTCCTATTAGGCATTTGTAAATTGACAATTTTAAGTAGCATACTGCATACATAAGAAGAGATTGTACTTAATCAAAAGGTATGTAGGCGTCAAATATATCCCAATCCCAAATCACTCCAGAGTTCATGCATTGACTTAGACTTCTTAGTCTGATGGAGGACAAACTCCCAAATTGAACTTCAAGATAAGTATGTGATTTTAAGGAATGGTTCATTGTTTGTTCCATGAAGTAAACCTTCATGAAAGCCCACAAATATACAATGCGTTGCATAAATGCATAGTTCATTGGTTTTTAGCAAGTTTGTGAAATCATTAGCGCATCTATGCTCGTACAAGCTAGGGAAGTCCAACTCCCTCTTCTAGACGAGCAAATTCCCATGTTCTGTAGGAACTTGGTTACTTGCGGAACTTGAACATCCAAGGAAGACGATAAACCAAACATTGTAGTTTCCTTTTATCACTGTAGTTTCCTTTGATGCCTTAAAGGTAATTTCTTAATATATGAAGGTAGGAATGCACAAGCCATTCTTAAAAGTGGCAACATTGAAATTTGCCCCCCTTATAAGAAATCATTGGTCCAACAGCATATTGTGAATCAAAGGGTGTTTATCAAATTATGATCATTCAATTTTTTTTGTCCTAGAAGTAGTAGAGCATTTCAATATTTTACCCAAGCATCAATGCTATCAGCATGCATCTATGCTATCTTTTCCAATTAATTTCCACAAGAGAAACTATAGATAAAGTAAAAGAGACAATATGAAGAAAATACAAGTTTCTCAACATGAGAAACATTGTATGTTTCTCAAAAGGGCATTTTGGTCTTTTTGGTAAAAAAATACCCGGTGCTCTCAACTTCTCTCTCCTCAACCATGAACTTTGAGCAATTTTCAACAATGGAAATCAAATATTTCTTCGACAATGGAGGGAACACTTTTAAACAATGGCAAAAACCTACCATTTGGGATTAACCATACCCTTAATTTATATGTTTTTCTTAGGGTTTTTCGTTAAATTCGGTGGCGAAGCCGCCGGATATGGTGGTGTTACGGTTGGGGTTTGTTGTGGTATTGGTGGAGTCGGTTATGGTGTTGGTTATGGTGATGGGGTTCGTCTTCCATGGTTGATTCGAAAGGTTGAAGAAGGAATGATGAAAATGGAAGGAGGAGGAAGAAGATGACTCAGCAAGAAAAAATAATAAAATATTAAAAAAGTTGCCATTATTTACGCATTTGCCATTTTGAGAAACATACATGTTTCTCATCTTGAGAAACTGGGGCAAGCTCGACAATATGTACAGATGAACTAGGAATGTTTGTATCTTCTAATTATTATTAGATCAGGGCAAAACAGTGTCGAAAAAGTACGGCAGCACTGAATTCCATGAGAAACCTTTAAAAAAGATTCTTCTACATTGGCATAGGAAAAAAAAAACAACCACCATTCCTCACCTGAGACAATGCATAGCTAATCCTAGGTCTCAGGATGATAATTGGAAAGCAAGTAACATAAAACTGAAGGGAATTAAAGAAGCTAACCCCATCTGTAGCCAGTATGGCAAATTGGTCTCTGCTTGTAATGCGCCTCTGTGTAACTTCAGGTTCAGAAATAAGCCCAAAATCTTTCATGCAATGATCTCCTAAGGCTCGTGAAAGTGCCAGTCCTGGAGCCCCATTATTTGGCTGCCAGAGCCTATAGACCCCTGGTTCATCATGAGAGCAAAATACTCGTCCTCTTGACAGCATTATTCTCTCCTCTTCTTCTGCGAATTGAATACATGGAATGCTGTTAAATTTCTAAACCACAAAATAAATGTCTACAAATAACGTTACAAGAGAGATAGAGAGCTCTAACGAGGTAAGTTGGGCTTCAAATCAATTGTTAATTGAACTGGTACCAAGTTTCCATTTTCACTCATTGTCGCTAAAACAGCACGAGAGTCTCCAACATTAGCTACAGTAAGCAGTTCACCCTGAATTTTCCATACACAAAATGTTAAAAATGACTTGACTTTTCACTGTCAAGAAACTAGAAGCCTCTCACAGAGACATGAAAAGCAAAAATACTTCTTATAGATATATAATTTAAGAAAAAATTATGTGTAGCGCAGTTAGTTGGATTCTTTAACACTATAAAACTGATAAAGACAGGTTGATCCTACAAAGCACAAGAAGTCATTTCTTGGTAGAACTTAATTTTGGAGCATGATTTTTTTGGTCATTTCATCGTGCATTATACAGTTGCTTAGACTGCCTAGATGTGAACACTTCCTAGAGAGGGCTTCCATTAACCATAGAATTACTATATGTGTCATTCATTATCAGTCACAATATAGATTGGTGATCATTTCAGATTCTCAGATCCTATTTAGAACAGGCTCAACTATAAAATGAATCTGGGATTCTTATTCCTCATCAACAGATAAGATACTTTTTTATTCATCCATTGATCACAAATTCATATTATTCAGCTAAATATTTAAGATAAAACTCAAGTTTGTGATAAAAAAAAAAAAAAAAAAAAAAAAAAAAATACTCTAAACAATAACGTATTATTAGGGAAGATCAAGTAATAACAAAGTACAAAAGCAGGGTCCAAACAAAGTGAAATAAGTACAAGGTGATGAAACAGATCTGCAGCATCAGTAGTTTTAAATTCTTAGAAGCAAGATGTATTAAGGAAAACTATTCATTTAGCCCATTAAGTTACGAAATACATAACAAGCTTTTAAATAATAAAAAAATCATCAATACCTGTCTCACAATTGCCAAAGCAGTAGTCCCACTATCAAATGAGTCAACTCTTGGATGGCCGTTTAGTTCTTGATCTATGACAGAACAAGTCCTTGAATATGTTTGTTTCCATATGTGAAACTCTTGGGCATCTTTAGTCAGCTGATTCAAATCCACATCAAGCTCAAGCTCAAGTGAATGGACGGCAAGTATTTCCTGCCAATTGCGTAGCAGTAAAGATGGCAGTAATTTGCTGACATACTTAGAAACAAAATGACCCACAGGACCATGCCCATCAAAGATTCCACAGAACGTCATATCTTGTTGGCAACCAAACTCCTGCATTTATTTATACAGATAGTAATCAACTTTTGAAAAATAGAAGAGATCTGCGTTATATATAGAGCATACTTACTATAAAAAATATTAACAAACCATCATGTACTTCAACTAATACAGTCTTACAGAGTACATGAAATACAATCCAACTACATGAGCATTTACTGTAGAGAACATAAAATCACCATCTATCATATAGCCTAAAGTGACTTCCATATGTGATTTAACATTTAATCTTGTTTGGGCTACACCCAATTTAGCTTGGCCTTCCAGCCATGTCTACATCCAACAGGCCGAAAGCATGAGATCACATTATACTATTTCTCCCCCTCCAAAATAAAAAGTTGCAAACTCCTAACAATTAAGTAAATTAACTTGTAAACGTACCTTCCACACTGTCAAGCAATCCTGATTAATTCCCTTCTCCCCTTTCTTGCAAAAAACTGATGCTGCTCCATTAGACCTCGAAGTTGTTACACCAGGACATCTTAAGATTAGATGATTCTTCCTTGCTTCATCTTCCAATGACTCGGCAGCTCTCCTTCCCTTATCATTCTTAGTGTTCCTGCCCTTGGATGAAACACTCTTTGCCAATCCCTCAAATAGGGAGGAAAATTGTACCATAGTTCTGCAGATTAATTATTAGCAAATCAATTGACACTCTTTTATAGTTTGGCTTGAATGCCTGAAATTGTTGATATGCATGACTACTTAAGATTGACGTCCAAGGACTGACAAAGCATAATGGCCTTGGATGAAAGAAGTCCAACTTCTGATAAAAAAATTTCTAAGACCAAATCTATAGCTCCACACTTTGAAATCTCATGACTGTCAAGAACAGAAACATCAACAACCCAACATGCATCAAACGGTGGCAAGATCTGGGGAGGTAATTAATTCTAAGAAAAAGTGCAAATAGGGAAGTTGTTTCAGAGACTTGCAAAGGCAAAAATTATAAACACATAACTGCCATAGAAAATTAAAAAAGAAATCCCTTGACTTCTTACAAGAAAGAACTCTATACTGCTTGTGAACAACAAAGTCAGATAGTGTTACCTGTGCTCAGAAGTATGTTGTTTTGAGCTTGTGAGTCCTCAGAAATTGCAGATTACAATAAAGAAACTTAATAGGGTTTCAAAATCTAAACTCTTAAAAGAAGCAGTTTACCCTCTAATCTCAATTATCCACCCTGTGGTATATATGCGTTTCAGTCCCCTAAACGCGATTTTCAATGATGATAAACAGTTTCAATATTTCAACCCTTAAGACAGCCAAGGAGATATTTATATTCTTGCGTTAACACTTCACAGAGACACTGTAGCATTAAGACTTGAACAAGAATGGGTGCTATCTTTAGCAAGCAAAATTGGGAGTTTATAAGCTAGCTCAACTAATCTCATACATTATTTTATACAAAGTCGGCTTATGGAAAGTGAATTTTGCTGACATTATATGTAAGTTTAATTAAATCAGGTAAGTGGTACAAACAAAATGAATAGGATTAAAAAAATTGCTCGGTTGAGATTAATTACTCAGTGGTCCTAATCCGTTAATTTAGTATTGAAGATAAGTTTATCTTGATATTAAACAATTTTCAAGAATCATGATGCCTGTGTGCTGTGATGCAAGCTAATGTAATATAATAAAGCAGTACGATGTAGACAGCATATAACAAAATAAGAATGCTAAATATCATATGCGAATCTTCCTTTTCTTAAAACAAATCCAACAGCAAGTGATTCAATATTCTGAATCAAAATATGAAAAACATGGCTGCAAGAAAGCCAGGTGTCTAAGACATGTCAATTTGGAAAAGTGGGACAACTTGGACCAAGATAGATACGCAAGCTGCTTATGTGGAAAAACTAGTGGACGGAAAATTAGTGCAAATACAGGGTGTCAAAAGATATTACCTCAAGTAGTTAAACTAGTAAAATTAGTTTATCCTTCAACCATATTAAAAAATGTTACCAAGAAAACTATGAGCTCATGACAGTTCACTTTTGATTTCAATTATTCCTATTTAATAGAGAAAAAAAAGATAGCGTAAAACATTTACCAGCTGACTGAAAACAATGCAACTTGTTAGTTGCCATAGCTGGTAATGTAGTAACACTTTACACGGGTTACCAATAATCTCGGCAAGTACAGCTTCCGTCAATAAATCTATGGTATCTGTTGACATCGCGCACAATAATTTCCCTTTCCAACAGCCTACTGAAATACTTGAAGGCTTCATGGCAATCCCTGCAAATTCTAAGATTCTTCAGAATCCTCAAAGGTTTTCCAGGAGGTGCTGCCCCACTTAACACCCCATATGCCAACGCCAACTTCTCACTATGATATGAAAGCCCTTCTCTTTTCTCCCCTTCCTCAACATCATGTAACATCTCGCTCCAATTTGGCACATAACCGAGTTTTTCAATCTCTTTCATGAGTTCTGCAAGCTTTGCATAAACCTCTTTTATCTGTTCATGCTCGCTGTCCCCTGCTAAAAACATGTGCACTTTTCCTCGAACTTCCATCCAACTCCTCCCACCTTCCTTCTTCACGTTCACATTATTCATCATCTTCCTAACATTTGCAGCCTCATTCCACCTCCCCGAAGCAGAGAATGTATTCGCAGCTATCACATACGCGGAGTCATCATTAGGGTCAAGTTCCAATAACCGCTTACTCATCCTCCAAGCAACATCAGCATCACCATGTGCCGCACTTGCTGACAGTAAAACCCGCCACACACCAGCATCCGGCTTAATTGGCATGGTCATAGCAATCCGCTCAGCATCATCCAATCTCCCAACTCTACCCAATGCACCCACTAAACAAGTATAGTGCTCTAATGAAGGCTTTAAACCATACTTTACATTCATCTGATTAATCCAATACTCCGTCTCATCAGCCAAACCCGCATTATATAATGATGTTAACACAGCCAAGAAACTGAAATCATCAGGTGCAAGTCCTCGCGATTCGAATAAACCAAAAAGCTCAAGAACTGAAGATTGATCACCTTGTTGAGCATAAGAGGCCATCATGGCATTCCATCCCACAATATTCATATCAGGCAAGAACTCATCAAACACCCTCCTAGCTTCCATTACCATACCACACTTCCCATATGCAGTAACCAATCCAGTACTAACATAAATAGCTTTAATAAGCCCTGTAACAACTCCATGACCATGAATAACTCTACATTGTTCCAAAGTAGCAAGCTCGGCACCAGCACCTAGCGCCCCGGAAACACTATAAACCGTAGAACTCGCATTCCGAGACACCATCTCAGCAAAAAGACCCAAAGCCTCAACAGGACGAGAATTCTGAGCAAACCCAACAACCATAGACGAATAACAAACCCCATCTCTCTCAGGCATTTCATCGAACACCTTAAATGCATGATCAGGAAGCCGCAATTTCGAGTAAAAATGAACAAGGGCAGAAGCGCAAAAGGGCTGAGATGACAGAGAAAGCTTAAGGGAGAGAGAATGAACCTGGGTTCCAAAGGTTAGCAGAGAAAGAGTAGCACAAGTCTTGATAATAGAGGCTAAAGTTCGCTGATTGGGGCGAGTAGGGTGGCGGAGCATGGCGATGAAATGGCGCAGAGAAAGCGGAGAATTGGGGTTGCCGGAGATGAGGGAAGTCCATGAGACGACGTTGGGAGATGGGATTTGCCGGAAAACTGCAAAAGCTTCGGAAAAATGGTGGGATTTTGAGTAAAAAGTGATCAACCTGTTGAGGAAAGAGAGGGAATGTTGTGCGTTTGATGTTTTGATAATGTGGGCGTGGATTGTTCGTGGGTCTTTGGAATTTGATGATAATAGTGCGTCAAAGTAATCCATGTTGAAGAGATTTGGGAACAAATTTGTGCAAAAATTTCATTTATATTTTGATTGCATAGATGATGATTAAAACGTGTTCATGAGACTTTAGCCTACTCGTAGTATACAAGGTTTAAGCTCATTTGGATTATGGCTTCGTGAAAGGTTGGATGCTCGAAAATTGCAATCAATCGATGTAACTATCATTGTACTTGGAATTTGCTTATTTGAGCTTATTGGAACTCACCATATTACAAAATTTACAATGAATTTAATCTAAACTTTAAGTCTATTGGAATGTAATATAGGCATATTGCTATTGAATACTCAAACTCTCATTTGCAAATTGCAAGTACTTGATATTACTTGTAACCCACTGGGTATGCAATTTTATCATGAGGATCAATTTGTGGATGTTGTGGTGATACAAATGAATTTTAGGTAATCTAGTTCTCTTAGTCATCTATATCAACACTCACTCTCCGGTGAGTTTTTATTAAAACATTTTATATCTTCTTTATTTTTATTTTCGCAAATTAATTTGTTCTTCTAGCCTCATCCTTCTTAAGGGAAATGAGATGTCCATAGGTTAGTAGATACACTAATTTAAAGACCACGTCAAGATTAATTTCTTTTATTGAGTTTGCCTGTTTGAGATTAGAACTTGAAATCCATCCTATGAGATGGGGGAGATCTTCATTACTTTTTTTTATTTTATGTTTGATTGCGTTCTTTCTATTACAAATTACTTCTTTCTCTCTCTCTGTTTTTTTTTTTTTTTTCTCTTTTGAATAATACTTCTCTTATAGTTCACTTTATAAATATAAAATCATAGATCACTTAATATATCTAGAACTAGGTTTCTAATAGAAAAAAATTGATTAGACTCCACTATTCTTCCTCTCTCTCTCTCTTTTTAGTTGCATAAAAATTATATCCAACTAAACTATTCTAAAAACTACCAAAGCCTTTACAAATAAGCTCTCCACTACATAAGCCTCCAAAGTAGGTTTAGGGGACATAATCTTTCAATTATTGAGGAGGAATTATGTGGATAATGACTAGATGACCCTAAGAGAAACGACCCATCTTATCATACTAATGTGACCTTGAACCTTAAGATTGAATAGTAGGGTCTTGCAACTTGTTCTCGTTCTTAACCAATTACATGCTTGTATATGTTACTTATATATTCATGGGTCCAATTGCCTCTAAAATATCATGTCAATATTGTATATGTTATTCATGGATCCAATTGCCTCTAAAATATCATGTCAATATTGAAATGAATCAATTTTATTTATAAGATAGTCATAATATAGCACTATGGTTGAGAACTTTGAGGAGATAATTAGAAATACTTATTAATGGTTAAATTTCTACTGTAATCGGAGGCTATGCATTTTCAAAAGGGCTAAACGAAGGTAGCAAGAAAGGTGATAATATATAGCCATCAACTCATTGGAAATTAGAAGCATTATTGTCAAAAATATCCTTAGAGTTTTTAGTTCACTTTTGTATTATAGTATTACTTAAATTACTAGATCGGTTGATGCACAAACTCATGTCTTATATGCTAGTATAGGGCTAGGATAGTATGTAATGGGTAGTGCTCTCTCTTACTAAGTCGTTACCCAAACAAAAGATAGAGTTTAGCGTGTGTTCATCTTAATAGATGAGTTTCGACCTTAATGGTGACCGAAACGTTTTTAATAAAGCAAAAGTTCGGTGCTATCTACTCAAGCCATGGTGATTACGCAAGTACTAATTTTAACCTACAATCTTTTAACCAATTAATTATGTATAATTTCATTACTGCCTTCCTAATCTTGTTACCTAAAAAGCATATCACCCCAACCTACTTAAAAAAGAAGGTGGGCCTTAATGAATCAAAATTGAGCGCCGGAGATTGAATATGCATCGCAAATTAGTTTCCTTGGAATAAGTATGTGGTATTATATCACATGGTTGGAACATAATTAGTCATATTCATGGTCAATCCAAAGCAAACAAACGTCCACCAAAAAACAAAAAGGAATCGTAGTAGTTAACCCTTAATCAATGTGCATACAAGCATGATCTTCCAAAAGTTCTAGAACTTTTATGTCCATTATTTATTTAAACACTTTATAAAAGTAACAATATTATCTTTAAGTAAATTAATAAAAAGATGGTTTCTTTCTAAAATAACTAAAATATTAAAAAGATTGTTAAAAATAACTATAAAGATTAAATTGGCATAATGTATTTCGAACTTCTTATACTGTATTGTTGAGTGTAAGGGTTTGTTTTTTTCATCTTAGTTTCACTCATTTGTACTATCAATACTTATCTGAATTTTCGTAATTTTTAATTAAATTTATGCAATCCTTATCACGTGCAACATGCCCTCCACAAAACCCAAAAAAAAATTAATTTGATTTTTAGTATGTATGCGATTATCAAGCAACAAAAAGGTATTTGCTTAAGTAAGTGGTTAATCTAAGAATCATAGAAAGGAAGTTTGCAGCTTGATTCTAGGCAACAAAAAATTATAAAGTATTTGTTCATGGTTCATTTTTATGGTTAGTTTCCGTCCTTAAAACTCAACTATACTAAATTAGACACTTTAAAGTGGTAATTTATCTCAACTTATGCACAAGATTCTAAAGTAAATGAAACAAGAGGACATATAATAAGGTATCAATCAGATACTTGACTAAATTCACAAGTCATAAGATTACAACTCGAGTACGGAAAATATTCATCATTTTAAAAGAGGGGTATTCATGGAGTAAAAGTGTCTCCTTACGGAATATTCCTATATCATATAGCAAAAGAACGCATTAGTTTCTTGCTTTCTTCATATATATTTAATTCTAAGGGACATATATGAAGGGTTTTAAGTACTCTAAGCGGAAATTTATGAATCTCATTCATACGCACCTAAACAGGATCTCGTGCATATACAAACAAAGGATCACATAATAGTTTAGAATTAACCTTTGATGCGTGAATTCCCAAGCTTTCTTCGACCTCCTTGCGGAGATTAGTGCCCCAATTGTTACTCCTCTATTATTGGTCCACAAGCGTAGATCGAACCTCCACCAATGCTAGTTGGACGGGACATATTAAATTCCTCTTCTAAGGGGAACTTTTAACCGGTTGTAGAGAGAGGAAGAGAAAAATATTACGATGTTTCCTTTGTGAAAGATGAACGTCTGTATTATTTTTCCCCAAGTCCTTTATTATATAATCATATTATCTAATTAGGGCAAGACTTATTCCTCTTTACTCCTTATGGCCAGTAATTCACTAAGCCCAACTTTTGGACTCGGTTTCCTTGTTCGACCTAACACTGTAACGTGTGACCTCACAGGATCCATTTAGTTGGCATTGGTTTAACCCAGTGATCAATATTGGTCTCTAGCAAGACGTAAAGACGACCCAACTAAATGAACTTATTATCTCCATAATACGATCCATATTATATTAGTAATTGCACGAGAATCGATGACACATTTTCTTCAATATATTCCTCAGTGTTTAGTGGTTTCTAGGAATTACGTTACATTGATAAAGTTTAGAGTTAGACAAAAAAAACTGTTTGAGCGGGGTCCAAATTTTCAACTCATACAATATTAAAATTATTTAACATATTATATGAATTGTATACAAATTAAAGTGTTACAAGAAAAAATAAAGTTTTTTTTTTTTTAATGAAAGACAGAAATATTATTTTGTATTCTTTCTATTAAACTTAAGGTCGAATATAATTGAGTCAATTTTGTTACGAGGTAAAATAAAGACAAATAACTACACATTAAATTATAAAATTTTGATTACGAATTCTCATTAGTCATTGAAAATACAGAATGATATAATCATGCGTAACATTATTGAATTTGTCTCAGTGAATATATATTTTTCAATATCAACTTTATAAAATTTTACACATGCATATATAAATAAAGATATTCATTATTTAAAACACGTCACACACACCATAAAAAGTCAAATAAAATAATATTTAAGAGTAAAAAAGAGAAAGAAGGAGCTCTCTTCAATGATCCATACTCAATATTCTCGACCAAGCTAAGCCACCAAGGGTGACAAACAAGCATTTAGTCAAACATGTATATATTGACCCAAATTAAAGTAAAGTAGTCGTAAAATTTATTAATCCTAAAAATGGCGGGCTATAACATAGGATGTACATATATGCGATAGTAGAACGAACCAAGTATCATGCTCGCCAGGCAGCAGCCACTTACCCCTCACTATCAAAAATATCCCAACTTACCAACTAATCTACGTAGTACAACATCATCTAACATCAACAGAAATTGCAGCAATTCAATTAGGAGTAGCTTTATCAACCGAAAAACATTAAACTATAGTACTATTCCTTCTCACTCACTTACATTATTTGGACTTTGGATGCATGTGCCATAATATGCCCCCTTTTTATTTGTGTTAACACCTTTTTCTAATTTATAAAATGTTTGTATAAATGCAAGTGACTAGAATTAAAATATTTTCCTCGTTTTACTAAAATTGCCGCAATTTAACTTGTTTATTATTCACATACTTTACTTTGTCAATTTTATTTATGATTAAGGAATTATATTATGTTGGATCTTACCAGATTTGCTTAGCTTCACTTTATACTTTTATAATATCAAATTTTATAAATTTTTACTTGTTGATACTTAAAGATATAAAACTTGAAATAATGCATTTGCAAGTATAATATAAGAAATGTTGCAATTTTAATGAAACAAAGTTGGTACAATAATTACTTACTCACCCCGCTAGTTCATCAATAAATACCAGTCTACATTTGATTCAATATTCTTTTTTTTTTTTTTTTAAGAGCAAGCCCCAGTTCCTCAATTGAGATATAGGATATTAATGTTTCTCAAATGTTGCTAACTCACCCCTCTTCTTCCTTCCTTTCTTCCTCCTCCTTCCTTTTGGCTTTCTCAAATGATAGTTTCTTCGCCAAAATCTCAAACAATAACCCAACGCACACTACATACACCAACCCCAACCAAGCATTTTCAACAACCACTTCCGCCGACACTAAATTTTGAAATTGAAAATTCGAAAATTAACTCAGAAGTTGCTTCAATGGTGGAAAGAACACTCAGCTGCTTCAATGGATCGCCACTTCACGGAGGTATTGCCGCTCACGGCGATAAGCCGACCAGCCAAAAGATACCCTAGTAGCAAAGTATGTAAATTGGGCCCATACTAACCCCTTAGGGGAAAGTATTTGCTAACAGCCAGGTAGTTGGAGCGGCAAGGCGGTGCTAGGTCGTGGGATTCGAGTGGTGGAGCAATGCTGCTGGTTGTGCAGTGGAAGTGTTGATGGTGGTGATAGAGGAGAGAAAAAGAGGGTAGAGGAGAAAAATAGGAATTATAGGGAATTGTAAAAAAAAAGGGGGAGAGAAAATCATAAAATTACATTGTTATCCCTATTTTATTGGTTGAAAAGACAACTTTAACGCCTTTAAAAACATACAAGGTTTCTCAATTGAGAAACTTGCATTTACCCTTTTTTTTAAGTCTTCGATATCTAATTTACTTTGATATTCTCATTGTTTAGCACCATCATATACACACTTTGATTAGAGAGTGAGGGATAGCTCAAGTGGTTAGAGCCCTCTTCTCGGTTCCAGGTAATCCTGGGATCGATTCTCATCACTTGCTCTTGTGGTTCTCTAAACACCAAAAAAAATGTTCACGCTTTGACTAATAATACTAATTTATATATATGATCTAACATAATCATGTGAATACTTGTTAAGATCGTTTCAATATATAATTATCAGAATTTAACTTTTTATTATTGGTAATACTTTGTATATTTTTAGTGAAGATTCTATGTTAACATATATACCGATCAAATTAGGACACATAGCTTTAAGAAATTTAGAGAATGACCAATTACATATTATTTCCGAATCAGTCCTAAAATAGAAATATGGCATACTTGTATTAGTTAGAAACGGAAAAGTACAAGATAAATAAGACACATAATAATGGAATAAAGGATCTTTACGCGAAACCTAAAGAAAAAGAAAATGAGTCACATGTGACATGCCAATAAGAAAACAGAGTGCCAAAGAACTTTTTCAATATATCCCATCTCTATTTTTTTTTTAAATGGCATCTTGAATGACAATGACAAAAAACATTCAATATGCCTGAATGGCTGAATGAACCTTTGTTCTTACCATTTGTACTGAATAATTCAGTTGTTTTTCTGACTACAAAAAAAAAAGAAGGGAATTTTACAATTCTCGCCCTTAATTAATCCACCAAACAAAATGAAAAATACCTTCCCTTGGTAAACAAAAATTCACAAAAATTTGGTTCTTCCCACCTTTTAAGAAAAACAAGAATTTGTTTCTTCAACCAGCTGTTTTCCTCAAAAATCTGCATAAAATAACAAAAATATACAGCTATTCATATTATTAACATGAGAATCAAGAACATGAAAATGTTCCCAAGAAATACAAATATACAATACAAAAGACAAAATACATTGAAAGTTTCTAAGAAATTTGAGTTTTTTCATACCATCATCCTTCTTCTTCAACCCTCTTACAAAGAGTACCAATATAATTAAGAATGCCACACCAGCTGTTACTCCTACTATTATAGCAACAGTTTTTCCGGTAGTTTGCCCTGACCCTACAACCAAAAATTACATGCAAAACTATTTTTAATACAACTAAAATCGAACATTTAAACATTTAATAACATCGAACGATAGTTATTTTGTCACATCAATATTATCGGTTTAAAACCATTTCAGAAAATATATTTAATTCAAGTACTTAGGCAAAATCGGTTGTCACATCAATACTATCAATTTAAATCAACTTCGAAAAATATTAGAAAAACTAAGCATTCATTACACCAATCGACATATGTTTTTGTTATAAACTTTCAAATGAATACCTTTTTTTCCTTTTTAGAAACATATTTGATGCTTACATGCAATCCGATCATCCTTAATTTTGGATTCACAATCCAATGTAGATATGTTAAAACAAAATATCATCCCAAAATAAAAAAATTATTGAATATCTCAATAAATTCTACACATGCCCACTCTTCAAAGTCACAGTCCCAATTAAAAGGTAAAGTGGGGAAGGAAGTAATAATAAAGATAAAGTTAAAGGGATAACTTGCACTAAAAGCTTTGCAAAATTGAACACAAACTCATCAAACTTGTACATGCCACATTTACAAGCAATAATCAAAAGAAACCCAAAAAAAATAAAAACATCCCAAAATTCAAGGTAATTTTAGATTTGAAATGGCCACCCCAACAAAAAGACTAAACAATGAAGGAAGATCCAATGAATGATTTTTCTAGTCCATCATGTCATTTCATAAATAACACCTACACTCCTAATTATTAACAAACAAATCCTACCAAAATCCTAAAATATAATAAAATGGTCAACAAACAATTCACCCCCCCAAACCAATAATCACGTCCATAGTGTAATTTAAACCAATAACGCCGAAATAAACTAGTAACCCATTAAAAAAGAAAACAAGCCAGTGTAATTTGAACTAGTAATGCAAAAACTACCTGGAGAACCTCCGGACCAAGACGACGTAGACGATTTAGGAACCCCATTAGGATAATAATTATAGCTAATGAAACACTTATGCAAATAAACTTGTCCAGCCAATGAACTCCCACATTCAATTTGAGCCTTTTGAACAGCTGCCTTAACACATTGAGTACAATCAGTACTACTAAGATCACCTTGACATTGCCCTAAAGCATAAACAGCTTGATAATTCGTTGTATAAAACCCATTACCCCCACTGCTCGCAACACCATTCTCCATTACAGTTAACGCGCTATCTCGCTTCATTTCGAACCCGGCACCGGCAACATTGGTGCGACTACAATCCTTGAACAACATTTGCATACCAGAAATCTGGGTGAACCCTGATACTTCAAATAACATATAACAACCTAACAATTGTACTCTTGCTGCAGTTACTTTACCACATAATTGGTCTGATAATTGAGGAAGTTTGCTAACACAATTGTAGCAATCTGCATTGCTCAAATCACCTCTACATTGAAATAACCCAGAAATTGATGATTGTGAACCACCTGAAGTTGATTTATAGAACTTGGATCTTGAAGATTGTTGAAGAAGAGATGAAAATAAGGAAGAAAGAGATTGAGCATAACTTCCAGATGGATCTGAAATGGGTTGTCTAGAACAACCTTTGTAAACCAGAGTAGTGTAATCAGGGGCAGATTTGGAAAACTGGGTTTGGTATAAAATGGTGAAAATTAGCAGAATAAGAATGAATGAATAATAACCCATTTTCTTTTATGTAAAATTCTCTGGGTTTTTTGCTTAAATCTTAGGTTTTGGAAGGAAAATGGGAAGTGGGTTTTTGGTAAAAAAGCTGAAATTTGAAGAATTTGGTGTGTTTTTTCATGAGAAAAATGAAGTGGGTATGAGTGAATTTGGTTGAATTGGTTTTTCTGGGTTGAGTGATTTTTGGGGGATAGTGTAAAATTGAGTACCAACTTTTGAGATGAGAGAAATAGGAGAGGTGGAGCGGCGTTTCTCTCTTTGTCTAAAAAACAGTGCAAATTTTGCTAGTGGCAAAAAAATGAAAATGAAATAAGGAGAATAGTACAAGTACTATAAATATTAATAAAATTGAGTATAAAATTCAATCTGGTACAGTCCATTGGCATTGTTCTTTAATTGGAAATAGTACTTGTATGTTCTTTATTTACTTCAAAAACTTAAAAAAGAGATTGAATAATTGAGTACATTTATAATGGTTGCTTGTTATAAATCTCTTTCATATTCTCCCCACTTCATTTATACTTGTGTAAGAGTTTAGAGCTCTAGAAGGATACATAGTAGCTGTGGTTTACCCTATCTCATTCTCGGAATCGATCTCATGGTATTAGGGTGGTTATGAAGAGTCGATATTGTAGTGAAGTTATAGAAAAGAGTCACTTGAGCTAAGTAGCTAACCACGGTCTTTAATGGATTTGTGAACAATACGAATGGAATGTGTTTGTCTATTATTATTTGATGCAAAGTTTTATTGCTATTACGAGTATCCCTTTTGTAACTTCATTGTTAACTTTTATAAGAACTTGTGAGAAATTGTGTTGATATCCTATATTTGTAAGCTAATGTAAAGGTCTTGTCAAGTTAGCACTTATTAGTTGTTACCTGTCAATTCAGTCTGACTTTATAGTTAAACTTTTTGGAAGTAAGGATAGAGATTAAGAAAATCTTCATCTCTAAAAAGCTCATAAGGGATTTTGTTAAATAAACCTTCAATTTAAGGGGCCAAATTCTAACTAAAAGTCAAGCCTGCTTAGTACTTCAACGAACTTTGAAACATTCTTCTTATATACGAGTATTAGTATAACAAGTAATACTCCATAATAATATTTCTTTTATTTTTCAATCAATGAGTTTAGGACACAATTATTTTTCGGTTCCTAACCTTTACAAACTATGTCATCCTAACAAAAATGGTCTCACTTAACTTTTTAAACTCATCCCTATTTTGATTAAGTAATGTGTAGAAGATACAATAACGCAAATGATATTAATTCAAACTATGCTTATTAATTAAACTCATATTAACTATATATCCGGTCGTTTTCATACAGACTAAATTATGAACTCTAATCTATATTATTCCTTTTGTTTTCAAATTAAATTCCTTAGTAATGAAATCTTTAACAGAATAGCATCATTCATGCATGTATGACATTAATAATATTCCCCTCTCAAATATACTTGTATAATGTTACATGCACATGCATCCAGACAACATAATAGTACTCCAAATAACATTAATTAATATGCAAGTATCATTAATTATCGAAGCAAGGATATGCTTCTTTTCAGTCAAAATCTAATTTACTATTTGAAGAGGTTAAGAACAAAAAGATGGTTAGATTAAAATACTAAGCTGTCTGTATAAAGATTAATAAAATATCAGATGTTGTAGTCTTTAAAAAAAATACAGACATACCTAGGTGAAATTATATAATACTCGTATAAGATTAGTCAATATTAAACGTATATATATTGGTAAATGAAATATTCTTAGAGTTGGGAAGTTGTGGGGTGAAACAAGACAAAGAATCTCATTTTTGTGAGTTGGGATGGAAAAAGTGTGTAAAACAGAAAGTTTTGACCCAGAGTACAGAGCACTTCAAACGGGGTTTGAATCTCAACATTATTAATGAGTAATTTGTGTTTCAATTAGGTTTTTATTTTTTTTTATTTTTTTTTATTATTTTTTTATTATTATTATTATTTTTATAATGAATGTTGCTATCAAAACTAGAGTTAGAAACAGTTGATTTTAATAATTCGGCCTAAATTTCGATTATAATTTGACTCGATAATAAAATGTTTCAACCCTTTTATAATCGAAATTTATGTCGAATAATAGAATTGATTCTATTCAACTTTTGACAATGGCATTCAAATTCAACAAATAACACTAGTACGTACATAAGTGGAAACAGAAACATAGGAGTAATAACATAATGTTTGCGTTAAATTAGATGTAGCATGGTTAATTTTGTAGTCATTCTTTGCTTCGACTGAGAAATAAATCTCGCCGCAAGGTTTTGATTCGTGTGATATATTGATAGAGAATATTTACAGAATATTCTCATCCTAGGTTTAGGATATACTAGATGGGAGCCCGTGCGATGCACGATTTTTTCATCTAAGATTTTTAATTATTTGATTTATTGTATTTAATAATTTCAGACAAAATTACAAAAGTTTAATATTTATTTTCCTTTATTATAATTTATAATGAATTTATTAAATATAAATAAATTGTAAATATGATATTTTTTCCATTATATAAAATCTTTAATGTGAAATGATAAATTTTTAATAATTTAAATCCTAAATCATTATTCATTGTTGTACCATGTCTTTTATTTCGATAGAATCACCAACCTCGTCCATAATCAACCTACTACATCAATGGATAAATTGAATCGTGAAATGTAGCCAAACTGAAATTGATATAAATTAAATCTTTACATTTATATAAAATAAATCAATAAATTTACTAATAAATGAAAAATTGTTGCGATATAAAATCAAATCTATGCATTGGAATATTTTTCATCACCTCCAAAAATTACCAAAGTCATCCATATGTTAAGTATACAACATCTAATCGTATGCCATTACATAAACAAATAATCGTTAAGTAGCCTAAATAAATACAATGTAACTAATAATTACAAATATAAATTTAAACATAAGATTTTAAAAATTACCCGGACATTGATGACCTAAAACTAACACAAAATTACTAACACAAAATTCGCTTGATGGGGTTTTATATTGATACGAAATTTTATTTGTGTCGTATGGCGTGTTAGATCTGCATGTAAAAAACATTTAGTAAATAAAACATAAACATATAATCGTTGAGTATCCCAAATTAATACAATGTAAATAATAATTAGAAATACTAATTTAAACATAGGATTTTAAAAATTAAGCTAAAAATTACCCAGTCATTAATGACCAAAAATTAACACAAAATTACTAACACAAAATTCGCTTGATGGGGTTTTTTATTGATACGAAATTTTGTTTGTGTTGTAAGATGTGTCAATTTATAATGGTAGGTATCACAAATTTTAATTTAATTATAATTAACGAACAATTTGTATTTCTTATCATAAATACTATCAAAATTTATCTTATAATGATAGGTATCAAACTTTATTATAAGCGTTTATCATTTAAATATTTTTTAGTATATTTTTTTTTGGATTTCTTATACTCGTAGTATTGAATTAAAAAATTTATCTTTTCCTATATTTTTACTTTATTTTTTTTCATTAAAATAATTTAATTCGTGGATTATAATCTATGTGGCATTAAAATTTAAGATATATCAAATCTAATTCGTTACTTTTATCTAGGTGGCGACATAATTTATTAATTCAAAAATAAAATACAAATCTTTCTTCTTATTGGTCGAAATAAGTATATTTCTTACGTGGCGCTCCAAATGCTCTCCAAAAATGCCTACTTTACTTATATATATATATATATATATATATATATATATATATATATATATATATATATATATATATATATATATATATATATATATAAAAAATAGATTTTGTATATGAATATCTTTATAATATCTTTACCTATCTTATTAGTTAATTACCTAATATGAACAGTACTCTCATTGTAACCCTATAAATATTGATTAATAAAAATCACTCTAATTAATGAGTTTTATATTTGTTAGGATTACAGTGATTTCTATGGAAGAAAACACATAAAAATGTGTGGGAACAAATCCTAAAGTGAAAATTTACAAGACAATTGTAAAAATATCAAATACAACACAAAGTATTACAATCAAGTATAAGAAATATCTAAGAAATTACAGAATTTCACAAAGATAACACTAGTGTAAAGATGATCAAACTTGCCTTTCCTCCAAGCCGACAACAACCAACATGAACATGAGAATAACGATGTCTCGTAAGACTTAAACCTTGATACACTATCAAAGGCGTGTATACATTTTCCTAAAGAGGTTTATTTCCCCCACACGGTGCTTGGGTTAAACCGGAAATCCACTTTGAGATATAATGGACAACAAATTTCGTTCTTAGCACTAGAATCGAAATACGATGAACAATTCACAAATTTGGCTAAATTGATAGAGATTTCAACAAGATTTTGCAAGATTCTTGAGAGAAAAGGTGTGGAGAATTCTTGGAGAAGAAAAATAAAACCGAAGTTCGATATCTCGTCCAAACGAAACCTCCTCTAATTAAAAGGACATAACCGCAAAAATCGTAGACGAGGGAAGCAGCGCGGGCGCGCCTCCCTGATTCTGCCAAAATCTTGCCTCGATCCAGAGAGTTGACGCGATTATGTCGCGCTTTCAACGCGGGTCACGCACTACAAGAAAACAGTTGGATTCCGACGGAAAAATTCCGTTGGAAACATAGGAAATTCCGTCGGAATCAGGCTTTCCGACGGAATTCAATCGGAGTTAGTCTGTCGTAACAGCCTTTGTCGAAAATTTGACCTTTTCCCGCGAAAATTCCGTCGGAAGGCGCTATTCCGACGGATCTAATTCTGTCGGCGCTGTTTTTTACTTTATTTGAAGAAATTTCCGTCGGAGGTGGGTAGGTTTCCGACGGAATTTTCCACCGGAAATGATATATTCCGTCGGAAAAGTTAATGAAAAAAACAGAGCACCACCCCTACCACCCTCACGCACCACCCCTAATCACCCTCACGCACCACCCCTACCAGCCCCAACCACGCAACACCACCGAAACCACCCACACCCAAACCCACTAGCCCACCACCGTACACCACCACCTATCGCACCTTTACACACCACCACCAACCCACACCCAAACCCACTACCGTACACAACCAAATCGCAACCCACCTAACCACCGAAACCCACCTCACCACCACCGAAACCCACCTCACCACCCGAAACAACCACCGAAAACAAAAAAAAAAAAAACATAAAAAAAATCCATACTTCACCAACACCATATATTTCAAAAAATCCAGAAAATTCAACAAATTAATTAAAATAAAAATTTAGAAGAAAAAAAAAAGAGAAACATACCTTAATTTGACCAAAAAAACGTCGAAATTGGGTTTGTAAGGTCAAATTCGACCATGAAAACTCTAGATCTAGAGTTTTCATGGTCGAATTTGACATGAAAACCTTGATTTTCATGAGTTGCCATTGAATATCTTGAAATAACCTTGAGTTGGCTAAGAAAACGAAACAAAAAAAAAAACAAAAAAAAGGGGGGGGAAGAGGAAAGAGAAACAGGGAAGAGGAGAGGAAGGAGAAAGCAGGGAAGAGGAAGGATGTGTGCGCCAAGGAAGGAGAAGGGAGGAAAGGAAGGAGAAAGAGGGGAAGAGGAAAGAAGAGAGGAAAGAGAAAGTGAAGGGAGGCGGGGAGAGAGAAAGGAGTGTGGGTTTTTAGGTTTTTTTTTTATGTTTTAAAGAGGTTTTTCTTTTTTATTATTTAATTAATTTCCTAAGTTTCTGACGGAATATTTCGTCGGAAATTTCCGACGGATTTTTATTCTGTCGGAAATTTAACGTTTCGACGGAATATTCCGTCGGAAACTTCTGACGGATTTTTTTCCGTCAGAATATAAATTTTCCGACAGAATATTCCGTCGGAATGCCCATATATTCCGACGGATTTTTATTCCGTAGAAATTCCGTCGGAATATTTCGATGGAATATAAATCCGCCGGAATATATAGGATTTCCGACGGAATTTGTGTTCGTCGGAAGATGTCCGTCGGAATCTACCCTTTTTCTTGTAGTGGCGTTAAACAGTGGCGCGGGCGCGCCACTTCGAAATCGAAATTTCTTCACTGGATCCAATAATTCAGCGCAATTTTAACACGCCTTGATCGCGGGTCGCGCCCTATACAAGGGACGCACAATCCTTACGGATTCATACACTCTAAATTACTCACAATATTATCTCACAACTTATATTTTTGTTGTTGTTTAAGAAGGTAAGTAAGGTTGAAATTTTGGTATATGTCAAAATCTTACTTTAAACTTGCAGTCGGTATAATTATGCTTAATTATTTAACCAACAGAAGAATTCGTGGTCTTTTGTTTTAAAATTTGAGGGAAAAAAAATGTACCCTAATAATACACACTTTTGTTAAGTGATAATGTCTTTTGCTTATCATTCTTTTCAACACCAACCACAGGGTTTGGATTTGGAAAAATATTTTTGAAAGTACTAAGGGGATGTTGTACCCTATCTTTTGTGTCGTCTATACTAGAGTTGATATAATATAATTTAGAAAAGTATTATCATGACGATTGGGATAATGTGAGCCCTCAACTCCATATACGGTGGTAGCTATTGAGGTCGGGGGTTAAATGTAGCTAGTAGTTTGAGCAATGACATTAGTTTTCTATTGTGAGAATGTGAGATACTGGTTTTATTGCTAGCAATTGTTAGAGTAATGGCTTGTTTATCGTGGAGGTTTTTTTTTTTTTTTTTTTTTTTTTTTTTTTTTTTTTTTTTTTTGGGTGTAACTTATAAAAGGGAGATCATAGGCTGACCATGGAACTTACTGCCTATCTAGGGATGTCAATGGGATGGGGCGGGGCGGATGTTGGCTTTTCCATCCCCATCCCCATCTAAAATTTCCATCCCATCCCCATCCCCGCCCCGGCTGGTATAATTCCAAAATCATCCCCACCCCAACCCTCACTTGGATATCCACCCCTACCTAATCCCCGCCTCCTAAATACACAATTTTTCATAATTAATAAAGATTGCGAAAAGAAAAAAAATTATTGTTAATATTACACATTTTTTTGTTTATAATATAAGTGTATTACAAAGTATTATATTTACTATTTTATTTTACATAATTTTTTTTATAAAATAGTATAAAAGTATATAATTTTGTTTTTGAAAAATATATGGATGTGGGATAGGGCGGGTACGAAGTGGGGTAGGTGGGAATGGGGCGGGTACGAAGTGGGGCGGGTGGGGCGGGGCGGGGCGGAGATGGGGCGGGTATAACCTAAAATCCACCCCGCCCCATCATCCATGGCGGGTATTGTTTTTATCCCCCATCCCCGCCCCATTTTATCCCCATCACCTATTTGACCCGCCCCACTGACATCCCTATGCATATCTTAGAGCATAAGCAGCCGTTAACCATTTAGGGGGTGTTTGGTATATGAGAATTGAGGGTGGGAATGGCAATTTTAATCCCAAATTTAAGAAAAAGTCTCTTGTTTGTTAGATGGGATTGAGAATAAAGAATGGAATGAGATTGGGAATAAATGGGGTGAATTCCCATAATTTTATTACCTATAGAGGGTAGGTAATAAATGGATGGGAATGAGAATAAATATAAAATGACATTTTTTGCCATTAATGAAATGAATGGAGGAGAAAGGTTAGTAAGGGTATTTTTGTATTTTTGTTATTTATTCCCTACCTATTCCCATTCACCACCCAAACAAAGTATTGTCATATTTTTACGTATTTCCAACGATCAATTCCCAATCCCATTCCCACATTTTAATTCCCAAACTCCCATTCCCACTTTCCAAACGCCCCGTTAGGGTAGTTATTAGGAGAGAGTGTATAAAAATACTATAAACAATTGTAGAGAGATAAAACAATAACCTGGTTTTAACCGGTCATAGAAACATAGTTATTGAATAAAATATTCTCCCCACTTTTACAGAATTCTCTAGCTTTTTAATTGTTGATGACGTGACAATATAAGCAGTTGACTCATATTATAACTATCAATGGTCAAGATGCATTTATAATTGGAAAAATTCATGGGAATAATCCCACCTTTGGGCCATTCTTTTTTAATAATCCCATCTTTGAGAAATTATTTAATAATCCGACCTTTAACCTCCATTCTTTTTTATTGGTCCCATTTGACCAGAAACCGGTTGAAAAGGTATTTTTTTTGGTTTAAAATACACGTGTCGTTACATTATTGGTAAAAAAAAATAAAAAACAAAAAATAAAAATAAAAAACTCAAACCCAATTCAGCCACCAGCCCACCACCACCCAAACCCAAACTCTAGAACCACCATCCCCACCAGACCCGAACCTCAAAACCATCCCACCAGCTTTCCCTCCTTCCCCCGCCCCGATTCCGACCACCCAAAGCCGGCGCCGCTTAACCCTCTCCCCTAAACCACCAACACCCTTGACCCTCCCCGAAAACCCAGCCAACCCCTCCTCTAAACCACCAACGATTCCAGCCCATCACGACCAGTCCACCACCAGTTGTCAGAATCGGAACGGGGGAAAAGGAGGGGGCCGGGATCAGAATGGAGAAGGCGTTTATGGTTAGGGTTGGGTTTCCAGTTCACCACCAGTCCACCACCTCAACCAACTTCACCCATAACCCAACCCGAAACCACCTACCAAACTACTATTGCCTTCACCAACTGAACTGAAACCACCACCCCATCACCCTATCTCAACTGAAACACCACCCTATCACCCTACCTCAACTGTGACCTCAGCCACCTTCACCCATACCTCCACCTTAGTTGAAATCGATCTACTCTGTTCAGGGAGGAGATCGTCGCGCACCGACGCCGGTGCTGGTGATGTGGTTGGGGGCTGGGTGGCTGGATCCGGTGCCGGGTAGAGGGATGGGTGGCCGGAGCCGCGGGAGAGAACGGGTTTAGGCAGCTGGCCGGATCTGGTGTTGGGTAAGGGGCTGGGTGGTTTTTTTATATTTATTTTTTTATTTTCCTTTTAAAAAATCTAATTTTTTTTACCAATCACAGACCGCCACGTGTCATGTAACTTGTTATAACAGGTTACATGACCAGTTGGGACCAATAAAAGAGAATGGGGGGTAAAAGTTGGATTATTAAATAATTTCTCAAAGGTGGGATTATTAAAAAAAAATGGCCCAAAGGTGGGATTATTCCCATGAACTTATAATTTATAAACTTGGATTTTCTCCGATCTAAAAAAAAAATTAAAAAAAAAAAAAAAAACCTATAATTTGGTAATTATACTCTTCCCATATTCCCACCACCGACTCATTTAAAATATCTTTCTCAGCAAAAATACTGCCTTTTGTGGTGGTGCTGGTGCACCCGTCTTTTCCGTCTTCTATTTATTCACCGCTTTCTTTTTCTTTTTCTTTTTCTCTTTTTTCTTTTTTTTTTTTTTTTTTTTTTTTTGTGGAATTTTGTGCCTTTTTTCCGTCGAATTTCGAAGTTAGGGTTAGGGTTTGATGATCCAATTCTGAGAAAACTTCAATTTTTTTTCGAAGATCATCAAACCTTTTATTAATTATTAATTGAATTGAATTGAATTCAATCAATAATGTATGCATTGAAGGAGAAAGTGAGTGAGAAATTATCTCGTCTTTTGGCTGATTCTCCGTCTCCACCATCTCCTCAATTGCAAGAATCTCCAAAGGTAATTTGATTTAGGGTTTTTTTATTTCAATTTTGTAAGCTTATTTAAGCTTCAATTTAAGCTTGTTTGATGAGATCTACACAATGTAGGGTTCGTGATGCTAGATTCTGTTTGTTAATCATGATTTCAGTTTTAAAAGAGGGAGTTTTTATTGAATTTGTGTTGTTTCAGCTGATTTTGGTTGCAATTATGGTTCTTAATCGGTGATTTTCAATGTGATAGAGATTCAAATTAGTCCAAGCTGAATTTTTTGCGATCATAGAAAATTGTGAATTTTATTTAACCTGAATTGCGTTTGTTTTTTTGCATAGTTTGTAAAGTTTTGCAACTTTAATGTGTAATGTGCACTTACCTATAAGCTATAAAGCAATTGGTTTCCGGTGCATGTTGAATTATACTGGAATTCGAGCAATATAATGTTACGAATTACGATGATTGTCAAAGCTAGAATTCGGAATGCTGGAATGTATATGATTATTCTCTTGCAATTAAGCTAAGATTGCGTCTCGCGTCTTGATTAGTCCTTTTGCTGGACTACTTGATCGATAAGGATCCAAACCTCCAAACCTGGCTCAAGTAGTAGTAGTAGTGTAATTTTCATCCTAATGTTGAATGTTAGATATGGGGAATGTGCAGGTCAATTCATACTCCATGGGAGCAAAAACTTTGTCATCGTTTTTAACCTACATCCATCCTTCAGCTACCAAACAAAAGACTCAGGGTGATTTGAAGTCTTCGCAATCATCTCCCACCAGATGGAAAAGTAGTAGTTTTTCTCGGCGAATTCAAAACATGGAAAATCAGGCAGAACTCATTCCACAAGATGAATGTAGAGAATCAACTATCCCTCATAATGAGCATGAGAGCCCTGCTTCTACCAGAAGTAATTGTGTACCAGAATTCTTTGAGGATGCAATTGAGCCTCCAAGCCCTTGGAAGCTTATGCCTAATTTGACAGATGATTCTTCATATGTTGATGGGGGATTATATGAGTTTCTTGAGGCATCCCTTCCTAACATCGTGAAGGGTTGTCAATGGGTATTGCTATACAGGTAACTGCTTTTTCTACTGCTTCCCTTAATGGTCTCCATCAACTGCTTCAATGCTTTTCACTAATTTTGTCGTAGTTTCTTTTGGCTTCTTTCAACTGAAGGGCAGTACTTTAAAACACGGTACATCTCTACGTACTCTTATACGGAAAAGTGCTGATCTTCCAGGTCCTGGCTTATTGGTAAGGGTGACCTGTAAATTAGTCATGGAGATACATTTTATCACTTTGTTGGATAATGACTGATGGAAACTGCTGTTTATCTTCCAGATTGTTGGAGATAGAAAGGGGGCTGTGTTTGGTGGGCTCCTTGATTGTCCTCTTAAACCATGCCCTAGGAGGAAATATCAAGTGCGTTGATCTCAGCAATGTTTACTTCTTTTTCTCTGTGCTTTAATTTTTAAATTGCCACTCTAATGTTAAATTTGACAGGGAACAAACCACTCTTTTGTTTTTACCACTAAATACGGTGAACCAAGGCTGTTTAGAGCAACAGGTAAAGCTCATATCCCTTGACTTTGTGTAAGCTGTTAGGTAGAATGTGTGTGTAAATATCAACGAGAAAATGGTCAATGTACTTTCGGTGTTAATGGACTGTAAGGTTGGGGTTTAAGGGTGTATAAATGTCTCCAAAGGGCAGAAAAGCTTATGTCATGAAGCTGTACTGTCATTTGCTATGTGTAAATGTAAACATCACTTTTCTGCTACTTATACATGCCATTTTGCCAATACTTAAAGCTTAAAAAGCTTCTCAGCAGTGAATGCTTATGACAATGTCTTTCATTCTATTATAGGTGCCAACCGATACTTCTATTTGTGCTTGAATGATTTCCTAGCATTTGGTGGGGGAGGCAACTTTGCTTTGTCATTGGATGAAGATTTGTAAGTCTTTTTTTCCCAGTAATTTATGAGAATGAATCATATACTGTTTTTGAAGGCTAATTATACTTATATATTTGTTTATCAGATTGGCTGGAAGTAGTGGGCCATGCCAGACTTTTGGGAACTCATGCTTGGCTCATGATCCAGAGTTCGAATTGAAAAATGTTGAGGTACTTTTCTTTTCCTTATCTTTGAGATATCAACTTTCACTAAATGTTGTATTTACTTTTTTGCCTCATGTTCCACCATAATAGCTGTTCCCCAGTTAATTTCCGAGGTGAAAGTTTCTGCAGTTTGGATAACTTATTTACTTACTGAAATTCTGAACCCTGAGCTATTGAGTATTTTCACTAATTTTCACTTAAGAAAACCCCATACATAAGCTGTATATTTGTTGCCATTCATTGGTCATATCGAAATGGGAATTTTAGATGTTAGAATTTTAGATGTACATAAAGCTGTTAGAATTTTAGATGTACATTGTATATATTCTGTGTAGTCAGTACTCTAATATAGAAACTGGCTACTTGTGAAGAACAAAAAAATGTGTGGGAGCAGATTTAGTATTTAAAGCTCTGTTTGATATAAAACAAGTAGAATGACTCATGTCTGCTTTAGCTATTTGGGTCATGTATGTTGGATGTGGGTGATGAGGAGTTTTTATTTCTGGGTATGTATGCAAGTATGCAACAAGTAGTGATATCTGGGAGAATCGGTGTCATTTAAGTCACATTGATGACTGATTGATTTTGAGGGAATCATGGAGATGAAATGAATATTATAGGGTGCTGAAGTAGTTCCAACTCCAAAGCAGTAATGATGTGGGATGCTATTGCAGTTTGGCTCGTCTTTTGATTATGAAGCATTGCTAGATGTTTCTGTTGCTGCAGGACTGTAACTTATTGAGGGAATTTGATGAGATATTTTATGCATGAGCAGAGGTTGCAGACAGTCAGATTAGAAGTTACCTTGCTGAAGTGTTAGAAATTGACTGATAAATAGAATAATATAAATCTGCAAGGGGTGAGCTCATACAAGCAGCTTATATTGATTTACTCTTGCCTTTCCCTCCCCTCCCCTCTGAGTATGCATTAGATTATCAGTTAATATACTTGCCGTGGACTATTCTGGAGAGTGTAGTAACATATTAAAAGAAAAGGAAGACCGAAGATTTTGGTCTGTTCCCGCCTCATTATCAAGGCTTGAAGGTTTTTTTTAATTTATTTTTTATTTTTTATTTTTCTGGGAGCGAATTAGGAATGCCAGAGATTCAGGTTAAATAGTACAAAAACCAATATAAGGACTAAGGAGGAGGAAGAAAAAGATTATTCAATGCAAGTGTAATTTTGGGGTTGTTGCATCTTGAAGTTCTGGTTGTATCTTCTGATATATTTTGGCAGCAGGTAGGTTTTGGATTGGGATTGGGTGGGCTTGACTGCTTGAGTCGCTTGAGTAGGAGGTTAAAGGACCAATTTAAGTCCTACATGATTTAGATCGCGCTGGTTATTACCAGTAAGGATTCTAAGGTATTTTGAACTTAGTTCAATTTGAGACATTAGAACACCTGAATTTTTAATGTAGGACTAGCCAATGTTGATAACTACTACAACATCTTTTACTTCTGGTGTAGATTTAACATTAAAGATCTGCTTTTAGTTTTTACATCCAGATGACATGGATTGACAAGTTAACTATCATGAGTTAGATTAAGAATTAACTTTGTACTGTATATTCTGGTTTAAAATGAGATCTTGGAATTGATTTCAGTTTAATTATTGACTTATTTTCATTCTCTTAAGTCTTAAAAGAAATCTTTGGTTTTTTGCTGAATTTTTTCTTTCCACCCTGTCTGCAGCTGTGGGGTTTCATCCATTCATCCCGATACCTTACTTGATATGTAACTAATGGAGAATTGGTGTACTGGATATCTGCGTTAACTCAATTATTTGTTGTCGAGGATCATCATCACATTTCATTGGTTATTTATACACACTAATATTTTTTTTTTTAAAGGGTGTATATATTGTACAACAGTGTATGCTTCTGTTACTTTCTATATATACCCAGGTTATTTTGGGGGGCGATAACGCCGATAAGATAGTATTCCACTTATTAGAATGAAAGTCAATATACCTTCAAAATCCTCGCGAGATAAAAATAAAGCCTATTTATTTATCAAAAATTATTTACTTGGATTATTTCATTCAGTTTCCAGGGTTTCAAATAGACTAGTTTTGTAAGTTCTTTGGATTACTTCATTCAGTTCCAGTTTTTAAATAGAATAGCTTTGAAATTCAGGATGCATGGAGGATCGATATAATTGAAATGATGATGAAAGCAGAGAAAAAAAAGAAAAAGAAAAAAAGAATGTAAAGGCAACTCGATTTTTTTTATTTAGCAGAAGGTAACCCAACATATTTACAGTCTGGTCTTGTTACCATATGCTTAGTTGCCTCATCAATAAGCAAGTTAACTCTAAGCTTTGCTTGCTGCTTTATAAGTGATGTGACTACACACTGATTTTTACCTGAATTGAAACAGTTTTTTCTATACAGACACAAAAAATAAAACTTAATGCAGGGAATTCTGTATACTACCAGTCTGTAGATACAATGGAGGGGATGTGCTGAACCTTTGGCCAGTCTTCTCCTGAGGGATTTTGGCATCTTTCCTTGAGGCGTGCTGATCCGTTGCAAACTCGAAGTTCCCTGATAGAGGTTAGTTTGGGCATCCGATTTGGCAGTGATTCTAGTTTTTGGCAGTATCGAATTTCAAGTGTTTGGAGGGTACCCAAGAACTGCATCCAATTAGGCAATTCCTCCAATTGAGGGAGATCCCTCAGCATCAAGTAGCAGAGGTTGCAATGAAGAGATTTCCATGGCATGCCATCTGCTCTCTCTTCTGATAACCTCATGTTAGGACACTTGCGTATAAATAACCGAATCCAAGGCAGTGAGATGCTCCAACCCTCCAAAAACGCTTCTTAGATTCAAGCAGTCTTCAATATGCAGGGATCTCAATGATGATGAGCAGGTACGAAACACATCCTCAATATCTCCTAAACTCTCCATCTCCTTGCTCTCCCATATTCGTATCTCAGTCAGACTTTGAAAAGCCTCCTTCGATAGTGTATTTAGCCATGCTATATTGTCTATCAGAACCTTATCTAATTTAGGAATGGGATCTGACGGTGAAGAGGGAGTGACCAGAGTGCTAGTAGTAGTAACAGCTGCTTCTTTCATGATATGCACTCCATTGAATTCCAATAAAGACATTCACATTGGGGCACAACACCGTAGAAGTCAGCTCTGGACATTTGTGTATGAGCAATGACTTTAATTTTGATAGACTAAGTGATTGCAATTGCGTCAAACTCATGCTTGTGCTGCTGCTAGCAACCAGCACATGATCATCTTCCAATCCCACTCCCCATCTCCATTGTCTCAACTTCGGTAGGATCCGGAACTCCAGTTGTGTTCAAGGGAGGGAAAGATTGTGATGCTTTCATCTCTTAGTAATCTAGCCGGCATGGAAACTGCTAGGCTATTTTCATATATGTACTTCAAGTTCAGTAACTTTATAAGTTTGAGGGCTTTCAGATGACGCAGTCTTCCCAGGCATGTCAAGTGCTGAATTTCCCCACAATCTTTAAGATGCAGCCTTACAAGATTTGGGAGAAAGGCTGCTAACTTATCTGCCTTTGCCCAACTTGGCATTCTCACATCCTCGTATCGTTCTAACTGCAATCCCTTGAGATTAGAATGTGGTTGCAGCTCTTCCATCAGTGCTTCATCATCATTTACTCTTCCACGAACCTCATCGTTACTAAAAGTAATCTTGATAACATTGAGATGTTCCTTATTCCTAAGTTATGCTCCTCCAGCTATTCCATCTTCTATGCAGTTGTACACAGCATGTTTGGGGAATTGGATCCGCATTGTAAGATTATCTTTAAGTTTATTGAGAACTTTTAAGTCCTGTAGCTGATCAACCCAGTGCTTCAGACTCGAACATGTTTCAGTACTGAGGACATATTCAGGCAGTGTGTGAAGACAAGTTAACTTACCCATGCCCGGAGGCATACAACTCAACAGATAACAACCCTCTATATCCAAGGCCCTGAGCTTAATCAGCTTGTTTGTATGTTTTGGCAGCCTTTTCAACCGATAGCACCCACTTAATTTCAGAGTTTCCAAATTATGCAATCTTGTAATGGACTTGGGGAGCACTTCCATATCTCCATTCTCCGAGAGATCTAAATACCTCAGATGCAGCAATTCACTTGTCGTGCTAGGCAAACTTTTTATACCTGAGCACTTTAGGTCCAGTGCCCTTAGACGCGTGCTTTTTGTTAGTAGTGAATCCACCGAAAACTTGTCTGCCTTGGCAATTATACCACTGCCAACATGAAGATATGAACGGATACGTGCCTTAGTGAAAGAGTATCTTGCAAACTCTCTAGTAGATAGATGGCGAGCTTTAGTATCCACCTTGCCGTAAACTGTATTCATTACACACATCTCTTTTTCTGCTACTTTTTGAGCAATGTCGTGCATGAGATCATGTATCTTACAGGAGATAATGTTACCATATTTGTCTTGAACTACATCCTGGAAAAAGCATCTCCTTAGTAAAATAGAAAAGTATTCCTCAGCAGCATCTTCAGTACTTTGACAAGTCTTTGGATGACACAAGGTTACATTGTTCCATTAGATGTTGACAATGTAACCTTGTGCCATCCAAAGACTTGTCAACATCTGCTTCTCTATCACGAAGTTTTTCGGAAATAATGCACAATAACTGAAGCAACTCTTCAACGAGGATTCAAGATGATGGTAACTTAGCTTCAATATAGGCATGATGTCATTTTGACTTTCTCTGATGTTGGATTGTCCTGTCTTCAGGAATGATAGCCACCGACTCTTATCTTGACCATAAAGAAGACTTCCGGCCACTCTTATAGCCAGAGGAACACTGGCACATCCTTTAACAATCTCTCGGCCAATCTCCACCAAGTCCTGAGGAAGGTTTGAATGATTCGATCCAGAAGCCATCCTTTCTAGCAAGCACTGTGAATTCCTCTCTGACAAGCCTTGCAGCTCATACTTTTGACCGTCCCCTATTTCTCTTGCCGTCTCTTGAGAGCGTGTAGTTACCACAACCCAACTTCCCTTTCGACCTCCCATCAAGAATCCTGCCAGAGTACGCCACTGGCCACGATTCTCAGTCCACACATCATCCAGAACAAGCCCAGGCGCCAACTCCCAGTTCTTTCTCTTCTTTCTTTTTTAGTTTAATGACAGTTCATCAAAACAATTGTCCAAGATTGCTAGATCGAGCACGCTACGCGCATAGTCTTAAGCCCAAGAACGGGTTGTATCCTTTTAAACATTTTGACTACTTCCTTGCCTCTTCCTTTTCAGAGATCTCGTTGTTCTCTTCCCAGATTTTTTCCACACTTTACTTTCGCAGTCTTCTTCATTATGTTGTTCGCTGACTTTCTAAGGTCTAACCTGTCGCTCCTTTACTGAAAAGGCGCGTAACGCCAGAATGCTCATTTTTTTTTCCCTCGTCTTAATTTTCTCTGGAAGTCGCCCTTATAACCAACCTCTTGACTTCTGCGGGCTACGTTCAACTAAACATAGACTCTCGTTTACCTCGAAAGAACAGACTGACTACTAGGATGGGGAAAGACCTGAAACCAGCTAACAGTGAAGCGAAGCCTCAAACATCAAACCATATCTTACTGAATAATCTGACTGAACCAGGTAAGGTATAGACAGATTATATCACAGCTGTGGCAAGACGAAGGGGCGAAGCCAGAGGCTCCCTTGCTTGCCTACCGGACAAGAAAGATTAGCCTTAGACCCACTAATGGACTATAACGAGCTGAATAAAGCCCTGAGTGACTCTTGGCTGCCTTCAATGATAGACGCAATTACTTTGACTACTTTATTCTTATGAAACGAGCCAATAAAGAGTTAAACCTAAACCTATTATAGGAAGCAATATCATCCAACCTCTTCCTGAACTTCTTCACCCCTCGAGACACCTTGTAAGCAACTTCAAGCCATCTGAAATCAGGAAGCAGACTAGCCTTCTTTTCTCCTTCTGTAAGCTTCTTCACCTCAGCAAGAGTGACAAACTCATCAATGAGATCATCCGCCTCATAAACTGCATCCTTAAGGTCCTCGATATAAAGCTGATCTTGATCAGAGAGCTCTTGTTTGGCTTCTGTATCACGAAGCACAGCTTTGATTTTGAAGACAGTGCGTTGTAGATCATCAAGTTGGGATTTGTAGCCGAAGATGGAGCATATCATTTTCAGCTCTGAACATTGCAGAGCTGTAAATAGAGATTGAGCAGCAGACATCACTGTACCGACATCCATTTCTGGTTTCAGAGATGAGCAGGGTGTGATTACAGGATAAGGACTATTAGCTCAGGAGTGTTATTTCATATTTTAACTCCTTTCTATATAAGCTACTACAGGAGTATTATCTCATATAGTGATGTAATCCATTAACTATAAAAATACTGTTACAAGACTGACAACTTAACAAGTAAACTGTAGATCACATATGAGAACATCAGCAAGACAGCAAACAAATGTTAATGTAGTTATTTCCTCGTAGATGCCTTTCGTTTTGTATTATGTTTCCTTCGTCAACTAAAGATGCTGTAATGTGATGTTATACTTTTAACAACCAGTTCTGTCTCCTTCATGGAGTCATATTGAAATAAATAAAACTCGGGTTGTATACAGAAACGATTATTACAACTTGTAGCAAAGGTCAATTGGTGAAATTATTTCTAGAAGACAAATGAGATTAATGAATTTCAGTATAATAGACCAGTTGTGTATTGATAGTAGTTTCCTAAATGATAGCAAATTACATCACAGATTCGCACCATTTAAATAAAAAAAGTGATTTCGTACACAAATGAACAGGCCTTTCCTAAATGATAGCAATTACATCACAAATTCGCACCATTTAAATAAAAAAAGTGATTTCGTACACAAATGAACAGGCCTTTCCTAAATGATAGCAAATTACATCACAGATTCGCACCATTTAAATAAAAAAAGTGATTTCGTACACAAATGAACAGGTCTTTCTTCTCATCATTGATGCTTAAATCTGCATTATTATTTGAGAATAATAATTTTGCTACTATTGCTAGTTGCAATAGTCAAGGTTGAAGAGAATGAGCTCATCAATTTTCTTAAGTGATAGCAAATTATTTGGTGCTCTTGGGTGCACAGTGTGCTCATGTTGCACCCGATCAAAATAACATATGTTCTTTGATTTAGAGCTACAGAGTGTATGTACTTTGGTTTTGATGCACTCGTATATGTTTTTTCAGCTTATATCTTCTTTTTCAATACGACCCATGTTCCCTCACTCCTTCCCCATTACGGAAAACTACTACAAGAAGAAAGTTACACTGATGATACTTCCACTGGATGGACTGAAGTAAAAAAACTGTGAAGTCGTACTTGGTAGACCAAGTGGTAATTTGGTATACTCGTCTAAGACTCGGTTATTTTACACTTTGACGCCCATTCAAAAATCATTAAACCTCCCAAGAGGGTAGTTCAGTTGTCTATGTTGCGAGTGAATGAAATATCGTATAACCTACCTTGTCATGGATTTATAATGCAAATCACTCCATTATAATGAGATAAAACAGGTGAGATAGAACTCACAGAATTATACGATTCAAAATTTATTTAGATCAAGAATAAGCTTCTGATCTTTGAACAAAAGTACGTAATAAATCTTTAGAGTGCATAAATTGCTACAACTAATTAAGTAGTTGTAACTAGTTAGCATATAGTCCATTAACCCTTACGTTTAGCTTGATCGGAATCATGGAGAATTACAGTGATGAAAATAGAATATTAGTAACACACAACGTAATACTGGTTTAGATTAGAAATTTAGACCTTCATTTTCTCATTGAATTCCCAAAGCATAGTCAAACTATGACAAACAACTTTAGAAAACACTAAGCTCAAAATTCATCGCAATATGCAAAAAAATTCTGATACCTCGGGTCATCAGATACACCTATACTAATGTTTTAGAATACATGGCATTTAAAAAATACCTCTCTACCGCTTTTACATGAATTGACATGAAACTGTAAAACAACCATTGGTTGAACTTCACTTTGAACTTTCGAGCACCAGAAGGTAAGAAATGAATATATGGCTCCAGGTCTATGTCAGGACCGGGGGTCGCTCGTGCCCCCTAAACTGGACGCAACCACATTTGCTACCACAAGAGACATTTTACTTCGTCCGCATCTTAAGATTCAGGCGCACCATCACTCCCTGGCAAGCCAAATATTCGAAGGTTTCTATCCGATGATCCTACTGCTATGTATTTTGCATCTGGACCAAATTTCGCACAAGTAGCTTTGCCTGCAATTGAAGGCCCCATAAATAGGTAAAAATTGAACATGAGCAACTCTATGTTGAAGCACCTTAGGACTAGAATACACCACAGGGCATGGAAGATGTGAATTAAGAAAGAGAAATAGAATAGGAAACCTGTGCCGGACAAATCAGGTAAGGTCTTGATAAGATTCCATTCTAACTTGACACTTGCAACTTGGTATACTCTGCAGCATAGAAAAGCACAGCTAGCAGTATAAATATAACGACTACGATAATTTAAAAAAAACAAAGAAATAGAAATCAATTCCAACATGGATTTTCCACAATTTTTAGTCTCTTAAAAAAATAATAAAAATGTTTAGTCTGATTAACCACCCCTTCCCAAAATCAAGCCACCACATGGGGTAAGGCAATAGATATCAGAAACTGTCATTCGGAGAAACCTGTGTTCATTAGCCCATGTAAAAATGAAGACTGCACTGATCATCCCCTATCCACATGTTCAGCAGGTAAGGTTTCAATAATGGAAAAGAGAACTGACTTAACATAGGTTGACATCATGCCAATTAATCTTTTAATGGGCAAGGATAACCAAGTCACTGCTGACTTCCTATTCCCTCTAATTTCCATCAAAAATCAAACCAACCCAGGCCCCAAGTCACTTAAAATTGATAATTAGATAATGTAGGAGTTGAATCAATCCATCATTGCCCCTCAGATCAACTAAATTCATCATACCAAAAAAGTCGTCTGAGACAAAACTGAAGAACAAAGTATTATTACAAAGATTAAAAACACACTGACCTTATATCTGAACTAGCAACTGCAAGATAACTCCCGCTATGGTCGAAATCAACTGTGGAAGTCAAGTCAATTAATACAAAACCCATTATAACAGATTGGTAAATTGTTAGCATAAATTCAGATTGCATAACAATAAGCTTGCATCTAAGGTAAGAGTTTTACTCACAGTTTTACCAAGGTGCGCAGTACAATGCACCACATCACCAAGGTAAAAAGAAATGTCAAGTGTTCCAGATTAACCAAAAAAAACTCCTATTCTGAAGGAAGATTTGAGATGAGATAAATTTCAATCTAAATTATTTAAATACCATAGTTAGTTGGTGTGTCTGGATCAGGAGAGGCAAAGGATCGGAAATTCTTCAATTTACGCAGATCCCAAAGTTTTACACCATCATGAGCTGCAGTCTGAGAAATTTCAGAGACAAACAATTATGTTAACACAACAGGCAAGCTCCAAAAAAAAAGGAAAAAAAAAAAAATAAAGACCCTACCGCAAGGAAGTATCCATTTTCAGAGAAAGACATGGCTGTAACAGGACCTGTGTGCCCGTCAAATTTGGCAACATTAGTCTGCAAACCAGCATACAATAACACACATTAAGTGTGAGATTCAGGAAAACCAAAGTGGGTTAGTGCTTAGCAAAAAGCAACTATCTACTTAGGTTCTACCTGAGTTTTAACATCCCAAATCTTGACAAGAGCATCTGTTGTTCCTGTTCCAAGGATGAGACCATCCGGATGAAAAGCTGCAGATGTATATCCCTCAGACCCTGAAGAGTCTGTCACCTGTTCAATATAAGATAACGACACAGATAATCAGTGAGATGCAAGTCATGCATACATCCATCAAGTGTTTCTCTCATTGCAATTTTCAACTTCATTCAAACATCAAGAAATCGTACAAGGAAAAAAAAAAAAAAAAAAAAAAAAAAAAAAAAAAGGTTTACAGTTGGCAGACAAAAACCTGTGTGAGACAAAGACCGCTTGAAAGATCGTAGAAGCACCATGAGTTATCAAGGGAAGCAGTTACAAAGTATTTGTTAGTTGCATGAACGGTAACGGCTTGCACCTGTCACAAATTAATAGATAGTAACACAATTACAGCTAGTATTTCAAAGAGTAAATGTCCATGCTTAATTAGTGTATCAGACCTTAGGTAAATATTCAGGTTTTACTCCAATAGATTCCAATTCGAAACTAATGTGCTGATAGTAAATCATTGAACAATAATCATCATTTTGGTACATACAAAATTTTTAAAATGCTGCCTACATACAATAATTAATACTTCCTCTGTTAATTTTTTACTTGCAACACACTTTGGCACGCATATTCGAGAAAATGATTAGAAAAGGTAAACAGATGAATTAAGCTATAAAATTTAAAACTTAAAAACACTTTCTTCTTATCGGTGTTATTTCAATTAATTTGTCTGTTCACCTAGCATATCTTCCTTAAAGTGTACGCCAAAGTTGTCAGATGCAAGTAAATAAAAACGGAGAATATATCTTACATCACTGATTTTCTACCAGAACAGAAAACAATTGTTATAGCATGAGACTGGTGAAACTAGCTGAATGATCAAAAGCAAGATTATCCTATTCTGCTACCACATGGTTGAGAAATGTATAGACAAAAGCACCAGAAAAAAAGCCAAGCACACAGATATTCAAATAAGAGAGCAAAGAACAAACAACAAAGCCATAGCCTTACTCCCAAAGAGAGGAAGCAAAGAAAAATTATAAGATAATTTACCTCCGCTGTGTGATCTTTTAGAACATGCCTGCAATCATAATTACCATCATCTGATCCTTGCCATAATCTTACAGTCTGTTGGACAGCGCACAAGTGTCAAGAAATAATAACAAATTGGTTTGAGATAAGTTTTCAGCAAGAATCAACAATCATGTTAGTGTGAAACATGTGTGCATTATTACATTAGAACTCATGCAAAAAGTCTTTTAAAAACAGGAAAATGCTTAATTTATGCTGTGTCCCCACATCCATGTCCAATTTAAGGGCAGTATCCCCATGTCTGATATTGTCATACTTGACGTCAGATACTCGGATATGTATCTGCACCAGACACTAATACCAGTTTCCGCATAACATAGCTGAAATATATGCCCATTCCTATCCAGCTAGAACGACTAAAAAGAAAAAATGGAACATATTAAAACATTTGGCTCAATAAAGAATTAGTCTGGGCTTGAGTTGTTAAAAAATTGACCCAAGATGAAGCCAACTATCGCAAGACAAATCGAAGCAATGTTCCTGCCAAACTGTTTACTATACATCTAAAGAGTATTATATAATTATCAACGTTTTTCATTTTCAGATAGCTTGGAAGCATGACAGACCAACTAAGATGAGTAATTCTCGAGTTGAAGAACCAAATAAGGCCAGAATGTCAAATAAACCTAAATATACAAGGATGGTGATATGACAAAAATTATTGCCAGGAATAATATTTCAATAGAGCAGTGTTGCTAATGTGATATAGTGAAATTCATAAGTGTAATAGAGCAAAGAAATGGATATACAGAATGGACGAATAAGCAGAGACTTTAGGAAAATTTTAAAAATTGATCGGAATCGGATAAGATTAAAAAATCATATCGCACCTACAATCCCAGACCTCCAAATGGCTAGACTTCCTAACTACAGGCTAAAAACAAAGTAAAATCCACTCAGCAATTTTCTGATTCTTTTCAATCTCCTTGATCACTACTAAATATGTATAATCTGCTTTCTTTCCTTCTCTACTAAAATTTATTCTCAAATTACTCCCCAAGCTACCTCATAATAGAATTCTATTGTCATTTTCTATAATGCTCCACCCCTGGGTTAGTCTATTACATTATGCTAAATAATACCTTAATCAATTTCTGTTTTTAAATGAAGAATTTCTAATATTCATCTCCTGCAGCTAACTACTTAACCAAACAAAAATCACAAAATACTTCTATTACAAATAAACGCAGCTTCATAGAAGTTAGCTAACAAATGGGAGCCAAAGGAGGGAGGGATTTAAAAATAATAACCAATTAAAAGAAAGAACCAAAAAATTAAAGAGGAAAAATGAATTAAAGGATTAAAGCTAAGGGAAGACAACTACAAAGCAGTGAAATTTAAACACTGTCACAAGCACTAAACTAATTGCAGTTTCAACAAGTCAAACAACTACAGTGTCTTCCCATCAGAATGGCAACAAAAAATCAGAAATTGAAGGATACAATTGAAAAAAGATTAAAGTACAAGAAAAAAAGAAAAAAAAACTCGTAATAGAAAATTATACAACAATAAAATGACTGTAAGAGACTCTCTGCACTTATGAAGTAATGTATGCTTAAAGGGTGTGTACCACAACTGATAGAATAGTACCTTATCTGCAGATCCGGTTATAACTAAACTTTCATCCTGTGGAACAATCTTAATGCTGGTAACCTGCAAAAAAAGCAATGAAGTGTAAATAGTTTGACATATACTAGTCCATATGGCTTTTGCATTGCAAAACCAGGCATATGAAAGACCTTCTTTGAATGACCACTTAGTGTAGATACAATCTGTCCAGAAGGTCGATCAAAGACAACAGCATTTGTATCAATCCCTCCAGTCGCAATGATATCCTATAAAAGCATAGATATATACATCAGATAACGATATTCAAAACAAAAAAATATATAAAAATTAAAAAAAAATAAAAAGCATCCCAATGCATGGTTAGCAAAGTCTCCAATCAGAGAAAAAAAAAAGCAGGATGCTAGAAGCCTAGAATCACTTATTATCAAAAGAATGGTCACGAGTAGACAGAATTATTGAGAAATATTATATCACAACATAGCCCCCCAAAATATTGTTGATATTCACAACTAAAAGTGAAATTGTAAGCATAGTAGTACCAAAAATTGAATCTAGCATACCTTGGAATATTGGATATCAACAGATAGAATGCCAGGTTTGTTAGTTTTGTGAAGGGGATAGCTAGAGATCTGTGTGTAGCGCTCCAGATCCTCAATAGAAGCCAAGGTAGAAGGTATCTGAAAGACAAAACCACACAGAAAAACTATATTTATCAGAAAAGCAATTAAGACAACTCAGCTTCTGCTGCAACACAGTAAATCTCCCAATAGTATCAAGTGCAAGAAAGGAAAACATTCTCTCTAATGAATATAAACATCATAGCCTTACAAAAGAAAAAATGAAACACAAAAGCTATCATATACTTCCTCTGTTTTTTACTAAGTTGCATTGTTTCCCATTTTACGTTTGCCAACGTGTGGTTTCAAACACTTGTGTCTCTAATTATCAATAGGTAGAAATTATAAGATTTAAATATTAACGTATGAAACTATAAGTCGAGACGAATCTAACAAGACCCCACATGACGATATTGTTAAAGAGAGTTAAAGTGGAGTCATAATTAGTGCAAAAGTCTAGCCGTAGCGACTAAATCAAAACAGAGGAAATAAAGATCATATTATAGCACATATACTTTTATACAAAACATACCGTTCTCTTTTTACGCTGCTGTGAAAGTTCTAAGTTGCAATCAGTCAGTTCAGCGATAGTATCAGCAGAAATTCCCATCCGGGCTTTCTTTCCATCAGGGCCCAGAGTCTCTTCCTCAGAAACTGCAATTCACTTTTATTCAGTCCAAAAATCACTATCAGTGAAATGGACAAAGAGAAATAATAAATTACCTCTTTTCCCATTGCTCAATGCAGGTTGATGTACTGCATTGCCTGTTGCCCCTAACATAGGCCTGAGCCTCTCATCTGCTTGAGCCAAAAGCGATCTTGCCTCGTCTCTTTCCTTCTTTAGCCTTGCAATTACACGGCAAGCAGCATCATGCTGCAGACAGAAATCATACACTTGTTTACAATCATTATCCTCGTAACAGAGAGAAAGAGCAGTCAAATGAAGCACATCACATAATGTAAGATCAAAGATAAATACATAATATATCAATTTATAAAATCCAATAAAAAAACATATAAACATTGGGAGATCATTTCAGACACTTGACCTGTTTCTTCAAAACTAGGAATCACTCAAAAGTCAATAACAAGCATATCCTGCCACAAATGACTCTAATCTAAGCCAAAATCAGGTATTTTCCCCCTAACCTCTTATTGACTAATAATAAATCTCAAATTAGATAAAGGCATGTGTCCAAGTGTCGGACTCAGTTTACAATATACAAAAACCATGCTTTTGTTCCAAAAGTGCCAAAATGCACGTAACATGATAGTGTAAAGGATCTGAGGTAAAGTGAAAAGTCAGCATAACTTAACTTCAAAACCCAAATGGTCAATACATAAAGACAAATTCTAATACCTGGTAGAGAGCATGGCTCAACTCTTGCCTGGCAGTATGTAATTGTTGCTCCAGAGTAAAATTGGAAAGCATCAAACTATCCCATTCCTGAATTTAAACGGAACAATCATTAGAAGCTAACACACAAGATAATTGAAAGCAGAGAATTCTTATATTTTCTTCTCAAGACAAAACAGTTTGATTAAAGCCATCAAAGGTTATATAACTAAAAACAATGATAATTTGTAGCTTATAAACGGAGGTTATTGAGATGACAGATGAATACCTTACAAATCCTCGAATTTGATAATTAGATGAGGGAGAGGGACATCATATGTTTAGATTAAAATTCTAGGCCTCCAACACAAGTTGTTTAGATTTTTACATACAAAAAAAATGATGTCCAACCAGAAGTCTACATATTGCAACACCATACTTCATCAAATAGACTATCTTTTTGTGCTTGCAACATGTTAATACTTCCCTTCGTTCTTTCTTAATTGAAACATTGGAGTTTTCACGCTTGCCAATGCACATTCTATACCATTTGTATGTTTAATTATACTTGAGCACAAATTATTATAAGTTAATATTTATAAAAGTATAAATCAAGACGAATCTAATAACACCCCACATGACTTATTTTTCTATCGTGCAAATCTCAAAAAGACAGTCGAAGGACCATGTGAGAAAAGTGCATATTACTAACATTGCGATTAAAAAAGAACAGAGGAAGTACCTTTTTTTTTCAATCCTTACCAACACTTGCTATAATTACAACTCTTACAAGGCAAGTCGAAACTATGACAATTGTGAACAACAAGGCTAAGAAATAAAGCCAACACCCATAATCAAACAAATATTGCAGAAGGTGCAATAAATGACATAATTCATAAGACACATATGGGCACCAAAGCGGTTACATATCCAAACGTCTAACAAACCATAGCTAAACATAGAAATTTCATTCCCTTCACCACGTGGAGAGAAAAGACAGCTTCCTCCTCAATATTTAGAGCCAAAGTCGCTCGCTTTTTAGGTGTGAGCCCCTCTCAACCTAAACACAACTAATTGACTACAAACCCTAATCTTTTCTCTTAGCATCTTGAGCTTCATCAACTTAAACAGAAGAGGACGGCCTTTAACGGGACCTAGTACAATAATAGTAGAGTGAAGGTCATTGCAAAAGATTGTTGCAGACGTGACCAACCTAGCCAAAATTGTAATGATAATGGCCAAAATTGACTACCTTTTCCTATCACTCTTCCTTCTATATACCTTGTTAAAAAGGTCTTTCAAAAACATACTCCTTACCAATCTAGAAGGCCAGGATAAAGGTAGATTGTTATATACACCTGACAACCAACATTAGACATTTAGATACATGCATAGTATTACTAATTCATACTTTAAAACAACTAAAGAAATCCAATCAAATAATTACAAGAATTGTTCCAAAAAAAAAATCAGCTTTGGAATTGACAACTGATAACGCACAGAAATGCCCTTTTGAGATCCCCAGCCCCAAAATAAACCTCTAATTTTTTTTAAGCTGAGGTACTTCTTACAAAGTCCATTCATCCGTCAAACAATGCACTGTAAAGTATATTCCGTAAATGCTTATAGAACTTAATGCTTGGAATACTTAACCATTACAGCTTAATGCATCAACAATGGTAGGATTCCTTGACTAAGCATTATAAGAAAATGTATGTATCTATGCAGTATAATATGTAGCAAAATACACAGAAGTTTGAAATTGACCAAATTGCTAACACAACAATAATCCATAATAAAATAATACTACTCACTAAAGTGATGAGACAGAATAGGTACATACAATTTGGAACATGCCAATCATTCCAGGAATACTAGCACCCTGAACGGGTCTAGGCTTCACAATCTGCAAGTCAAAGAACCCAATAAGTATCCGGGTATATATATATAACAACACACAACAAAGAGAGTAAAAAACTAATGAGCAAAGCCAATACCTTTCCAGCTTTAACAGGAACAATGTCGTCCATGGTCAATGGCTCTCCGGTAACCGGACATTTTCCATAATCCTTCAAAAATACCACCCAAAAAGATCCATCAAAACACTTCAACATTATAAAAAAATTATCTTTTTCCACTTAACACTAAAAATTAAACCCTAAACAACAATACACAAACTCTAGCAAGCCGATACAAAGAACTGAAACCCGGTAGCCAGATTACTTCAAAAAATTGCATCGAACTACATTAATAAAATTTCACAACAATCCAATACTCCAGCCAGTGAAATGCAGGCATCAAACAAGTTCAAATGAAACTGAAATTCAAATAGCAATCTCACACTTAAAATTAAAATCTTTCAACATTAATCAAAATTAAACAACAAAACCCTAAAAAAAAACAAATTGCGTCGAAAAAGAGTACCGAAACGTGACGTTCGATGAGTCGCTTCTCAAAAAGAAGTCCAGATTGCTTGGAAACAACCGGCTCTTCCGGTACTTCGCCGGAAACTACAACAACAACATCAATAAATCAAGCGAACAAAGTTAAACCCTAAAAATACGAGAAAAACCCTAACAAAATTGAAAACAAATTATTAAGAGAGAGAAAATGAGAATTACTTGAGCAATTCATTGTAGTAGAGAAGCAGAGATAGTTGAAAGCTCACTCGAAGTCGAAGCTACGAAGATGGAAGGAAGACGAATTCGAGAATCGTAGCAGAGAGTGAGCGGCAGCAGAGGAAGGTGGAGAGAGAAAGAGAGTGCCAAGGAAAAGCGGGCGATTAAAAAGAATTTGTTGATGACTTTTTTAAGACTTGAGTCTCGAGTTGAGTCATTTTTGTTCATTTTCATGTAAAATTGGGCTCAATTCAAACCTAAGATTAGTTTTAAAGATCTAGTCAAATAGTCAATCAAATTTGTATAAAGGGTTACGACTTAAGAGTATTATGTTGTAACTCATCGAATCATCATCAAATTGGTATTTCGCCAATGACTATAGGATATGACAATATCAGATCTATTATGGATGTCAACTAGCTTAGTTGGTAAAGTTTTGGAGTGGTACTTAAAACTTGAGACTAATTTCGCGTGCATCATTGTTTGATGAAATTATTTTCTTGATCTATCTTGTCCAATTCGCTACAAAACATAAGGTCAAGAGAAGTACAAAGCTTAGCTTGCACATAGGGTTTTATATTGACCTATTGGTGAGTTTTTCTTTTTTTTTTTTTTTTTATCAATCCACCTCTAAAAGAAGACATGTACAAAACAAAGAGAAAGCTTGAAAAGGGCAAATGGAGGTTGCTAGAGGAGGGGAGATTGTTAGATGAAGGGGTAAGTCGCGGGATTTTGGATAAATGGCAAGGGAATATGAACGAAATCATAAAACAAAAAGTACTTATTATGTGTTTGTAACACACATAACATGATTAAAGTAGTAAAATTCTTCTCACATGGCATTGTAAAAGTTCGAGTGCCTAAATGAGAAAGTGAAAGAATGAGATATAGAGAAGGCCATCAGATTGACTAATGCTAGATTAAATGGAATATATAGATAGGGAGAAATTGATGATTGTATAATATAAGTACCACTTTAACAATTATTAATATCATGATAAAAATGCGCATTGTAAATACACCACCATTGGTACTAATTGACTACTTTTTTAATACTACTTTTACTTTTTAGAAATGATGATTAAATGCCATGTTATACATTAGATAATTACATAACAGTTATGCATTTAAAATCCCTATGGAATAGGAGGTGAGGTCGAGAAACTTTACTCGAAAACAAAATGCTCTTCCATTAGTTCCATATTTGGCCAATAAGAGCTTGATGTGTAGCATGTGACCCCCCTTTAGTTGACTTTTTTTTTAATGTTCTTATTAAGTGATAGACTAATTAATATACTCCGTAAAATTTATCCTTTTGGACTTAAAAGATGATTATGGCTTATTTGTTTTTGGAAAAAAGCTATATGTAACCCTAAAAGCTGAAAAATGTTTGGGTGACCCTAAGGGTTGCCAACCCTCCTAGACACAATGGAATAAAATAATAATATATGTGCAATAAATTAGAAAGAGAATTAGCATAATATTATTGTTTCAATGTATTCTTGACCAATGAAAAATCAATATTAAGAGGGTTGGCAACCTTTTGGGTTAGCTGATCATTGTCCCTAAAAGCTATATAATAAGAAGCTAAAAGTGAAAAGAATTTACATTAAATTAACATTTATTACACTGATTTACTCGTGAATTGTCGATAAATCCCCAATTTAATACTTAAATTTTAACTTTTAGGCAATTGTCATGCAATGTTTGAGCTTGGCAATTTCCTAGACAATAAAATGGGAAATAACTACATGGGCAAACTACATTTGTTCTAGTAGGGTTTTTTGTTGTCATTTTTTTAATTTAACATAATCACTAGGAGAACCCTTGGCGCATAGCGCCTGTTTACTAACATTGCATATAGGATGACAATGTAGTAACAAAGTTGAAGTTGTGGTGGGGACAAGCTGCCAGGTGGCCATGAGTATAAAGTATCATTTAATAGGTAAATAGTACCATTGAATGTTGTAGTGGTATAAATATTTTGCTAATAGTACAAATAAGTATGTAAATGGTACATCAAAATATTATACCATTGTGAGATATAATAGTACTATTAAGACATAATAGTACAATATACATGCATAATAGTACAAAAAATATACCACTATAACCATAAAAAGTACCATTCTGAATGTCAAATAATTTATTTACCTTGAGAATTTACGTTTTTGCCCGCCTATATACAAACGTAACATATAAGCGCTATGCGCCTAGTGTTACTCTAATCACTATATGTCTAACTAACTGGTTATGCTACCATTTTCAAGTATGAATATGGATATTAACACCTTAAAAAAAAAAAAAAAAAAAAACCTCTAGTATTAGTGGATACACTGTTGAGTTGGGTTTTGTACAAGGTAAAGCCCAAATTACCACTTTGGACTGTGCTATATTGTTTCAAATGATCTTACAATTCGTCACTCAAAACAAAATACAAGTATTATTATGTATTTATGTACAACCATATGTTTACTACTGTATGATTTCTCAGGATTTCAATTCACCTTTATTTATTCATGTTCAAGCATAAATGTACGGTAACTTTGTACTTGGATTCCCAATCCAAGGTGACCCCTGTACGCGTGTCGACCAGTGCAATAGTGCAACGACATTCTCTTTGCAAATTACAACTTTACAAGTCACAATTTTGAAGACTACTTAAATTAAACCATAGTATCATTTCTTTATCTTCATGTTTTGATTCCTTACCTTTTTTTTTGTACTTCTAACAGTGTGTGTTTGCTGAATAGATTTAATCAACCTTTGAATAAACACTATGCCAGGAATATATGTATGTGATCGAGTATTAGAATAAACAATTTTACTATTTGCATGTTAAATCAAAACTACTCGTATTTTGTTACACTAAGTAAATAGCTTACGAAATATTTGTGTCCAACATCAAGAATCGGAATAAATAATCCTTATACAACATGTTGTATCGTTGTCATTCATGTTATATCTTAGGCTAGTTTGTTTTGCTCATTTGGAAAGATCCAATTCAACAAAAGACAAAATTTTAACTTTTAACATTATAATCAATTAACATGGAGTAGTGATTTGACCAGAATGAAGTAAAAATTGGTAAGAGCTAGCGAAAAAAAAGACAAACAATTGCTCCATATTGTACAACAATTATTGGTGAATTACCTACCTAACATATTAATCATCAAGCCTTACACATAGAATTGACTGCAACAGATTACCTACTCCCTCCATCCATTGCAAAAATATGGGTCAAATTTTTAAAATTATGACCATAAATTCTCGTTAATCTATAAGTGATAATATATTCATGTGAGATCTTGTTAGAATCGTCTCACTCTATAGTTTATTAATATCAAATTTTAATAATTTTTACGCGTATAGAAATGAAGATATATACGTTTAAAGACACGTCTTTGAGACCATGAAAAGTCAATTGGGACAAAAAATAAAGGACAAAGGGAGTAGCTAGATATCGAACAAACGAATCTTTATTATAGCCTTGAGCCCTAACCCATTGCCCCCTTTTTTGGCCTATAAGGCTTGATCTGATATAAATACGAAGTAATTCATTGGAAGGGCAAATACCCTATCCTTAGAAATAGTACTGATTCTTGTTGTCTATACTTAATTTTGACAGAACTCTCAAATCTTCAATACTAATCAAGAATACATTCAAGATTGAAGATTTCCCTTCTTTATTGTAGTATAAATGTATAACTAACAACTCAAATTGATTTGATTCAGGCACAGATATTTGTATGTATAGCTTTGATGCAAGATGGTAGAATAATTAATTATCTTACTTAACTTCATTATGTATAGTTTACGTGTTATATAACATATGTCGTTTAGGGACTCGATATTTCACAATAGCATAAATTGCATCTCGATCTTTTAGGAGTAATATAATGTACTCTTTTCTCATCTCCAAGGGGCATGTAGTCGATTATCATAACACAATATCCGTCCGTGTCGAAAAGTACCAACTTACAGCATAAGGATTGATCCGATTGAGTACTAATTCTTGTTAGCAAAATACATCAATCAAGGACGCAATATGTGCTAGTGGAGCAAATTTAATGCTTAGACAAAGCTAGCCATATCGACCTAGATTGCGAGAGCTACAATGCAAGCTCAAAAATGGCACATCAAATTAAAGCATAAAGGCGCAGTATTCGTAAATGATTTCATCTTGCTAGGGAAGAGTCACAAAACAATCCCATATGATCATGTAATATAGCAAAAAAAAAGATCTTATTATATATTCTCAAAGAAAAAGTGCCATTTGTTGCTTTGTACTTTGTTAATACAATCAAATCAATCTTTTGGAAATGGAATTACATTGTGTAGCATACTAGCATGTAGAACAAAGATCGATTTAATGTTAAGCACGCGATTAGGCAAACGTAAGTGTAGGCTTAGAAGATTAAGCTAGCACCAAGTTGGCATACAAGCGCACATGATGTATATGTACGAGTATCTAGTTAGTAAGGATTTGCGGCAACCTTAGATAATATTTCTTATCAAGTTATCATATAGATTCTTGATCATTATTGGTGCATGAAATATCTTCAGAATTTCTTTGAAAGATAGTTGATGCAAAGGAAGAGAACCAACAAAAGTTAGATGGTAGGTTTTGGCTTTTGACTAAGGTGAATCAACATTGCAATATTAGTATTGATTAAAGTAGTAGGCTACATATGTTAGTTCATTGCGATAATGTTAGTGCCATCTATCTTGTTCATATTATACCTATTTTAGCACCAACGCACCAAACATGTTAAAATGATTATACATTTTGTTCGAGTGCTACATGCATGCTCCTATGAGGTAACTTGCATGCAAACATTCTCATCAGATCACAAGAAGCTTAGTGTATGACAACCTCCTGACTTGTATAAAAAATGAACTTGATCTCAAAGTTAGACATCAAAAGATTAACCATTGAACTAAGCCATACTATGTGTCTTCAATTGCAAAGCGAATAAAAAATAGACACATACTAAATCAATAAAACTAGATAATTGCATGAATTTTAGGCACAATTATTTTTATACATGTAAAGCCCCGTTCACTTCACCTTATTTTTGCTGAACTGAAATTAATTTTACTGAACTGAAATTATTTTTGTTGAAATGAAATTAATTTTACTGAACTGAAATTATTTTTGTTGAAATGAAATTAATTTTACTGAATTGAAATCTGAACTGAAAATATTTTTACTGAATTGAAATTATTTTTACTGAACTGAAATTATTTTTACTGATTCTCTATTATATTTCTTCTTTAGAGTTACTAATTTTTGCTGAACTGAAATTATTTTTACTGAATTGAAATTAATTTTACTGAACTGAACTTATTTGTTATTGAACTGAAATTATTTTTTACTAAATATTATTTTTACAAGGTGAATAGAACAGGGCCTAAGTATGTAATAACATGGAGCGTCGCCCATGCCCAACAACTAGTTATCATACAAGTATTAAGATATATTACATAATCCAGTTAAGACTTTCTACACATACTGAATTCCATTAATCGTAAATGTCTGCACACTATTCGAGTTCAAAAGAGAGACAATTAACATTAATGAGGTAAAATAAGTAAATAAACATTTTTAACGGTATAATTGTTAAAACACTATTCATAAGAATCCCTACCTTTCAAAAAGTTTGAGGCAACTCTTATGAATAGTGTTTGAACAATTATATCCTCTAAAATGTTTATTTACTTATTTGCTCTCATTAATGTTAATTACTCTTTTTTTTAACCTTTTTTTGAACTCTTAAAAATAGTGTGTAGACATTTATATCACTAAAAATATTTGTTTATATAATTTCTCTCATTAATCCTACCAACAACTAAAATTATGACATAAGACTAAATCAAAAGAACTCCCTTGTTATGGCTAGCTATGAAGCCCGCGTTAGCCTCCCTAGTAATTTTTAACTTTTTAAAAAATAGGGATTGAGGAGGAAAAAAATGACATAAACTTAATTAGCTAATTAAATGAGAGAAACGTAGTTACTCCCATCCTAATTAATTAAGTGGCTAATTTCTCAGCTAAACATCTAACAAGTATCTTCACAGAACAAAGAACAAAAGAAATAATCACAGCAACATGCAATTTTTTGCTCTCTATCCACAAATTGTCAACACGTTAGAGAAGACCAATATGCCTTTTGCATTCAAGGAAGTTAGAGTTTGAAGATATGATTCGTCCTAGGCTAAGCAAGATCATGTTTTTATTTTTATTTTTCTCTAATGATTCCTTAAATAAAGCTGTTAATGTACTTATATTTGTAGACAGAAACATATCATAACATGATTTTTAGAATAAGATAGAAAGTATTTTTTCTTATTTCGCTTTCAATAAAGTTGTGTTACACTAAATTTTGTATAAACATCATCCACGGATGCTGGAGCACTAGGAAGTTTTCTTCAATTCTTCTGCTATTGTATTGAAATTTGACTCGATGAAATCATATCATTGCCTTAACATAGTACGTAGGTAACACATTATTAGTGAACTATATATATTGTGTTAGATTGTTAGTGTACATCTGTGTGTCGATAATTCAGGATGATCCATAACTCGTAAGCTTAATTGGTAGATGTTGACAAATACTCTCTATATGATCAATTTGCCGTTTATAAGCAAATAATTAATCTTTGCTTGGAATCATGATCGACATGATTTAAAAGCGAGTTACAAAGTTTATCGATCACTTGCATTGAATCTTCACTTGGAAGCCCTTCATAGATAGCTCAGTAGCTGTGATGCACGAAAACTCTCTTTGGGGTCAATATTTCCGTTTTCGACACCGTTTCCGCTTCCGAAACTCTAGAAACTTCTCCGAAACTTTAATTAAAATTAACCCTTAGAGATATGGATTTTAAATTGAAAAAACGTTTTTCCACATAAAAAATTCGATCTTTTCCAACACTTAATCTCCTAAATATATATAGCCTAATTTATTGTTTTTTTTGCTTTCTTTCTTTATTTTTCTCTTTTCATTAAGAAAATATGTCAATAATATTGCCTTTTGAAGGTGATATTTCATATTATTTTTCCGTGTCTACGTTTCCCATAATTTTAAATTTTCCGTTTCCCCGATTCCCCGCTTTCTCGTTTCCGTTTCCCGTTTCTATGCAACCTAGCTCAGTAGTGTCACAAGACGGCCAATTCTTAGATGAATTGATGTGTGCTCTTACTAATGAAGCTTTCTCATCCCTTCAATTATTCTAGGCAAATATACGTCTCTCGTTCGTTAGAGAGTTGTCACACCATGTAATGTACTATAATTATGGATTTAAGGTTGTGAACAAATATGATCATATAATATGCTCATGATTTTGTCAAGCTAAGTCTAGTTAATCATCGCAGGCTACTTAAGCTTTGGCATTGTCAATTTAACATCAAAGAAATGACTAATTAATGTGGTATTATTCCTTCTTGAATATGGAGTCTAGATATATTGGAATGTTTTAGGAAAAATATTATCGCTATTCTAGATTAGTTCGGTCCCTCAACGTCTCTATCACCATGCAAAACTTGTCTCAGATAATGTTTATTTCAACTTATTTAAATGATATTTGCTTACTTTAGAAATGATCACATCAGATCAAATTACATCATATCAAATTAGATCTTATGATTTTATATATATTTATTTGTCTAAATATCTTTAATTTTGTAATTAAAAAAAAATTATAAAAATAATTTTATGTTTGAAAAATACATATTAATACAAATCTCACGACATCTCATTTGATAATTTTTTTCTGACAAATTAGTGTAAATAAAGTCAAAGTTTGCTCAATTCTAAAAATTAGATCAAATTTATTAGGAATTTTATTTTTTTTAAGGGAAATTAGATCAGATTATATCCTATTATTAGAAAAAAAAAAAAAAATTACATCAGACCATCAAGTGGACTGAACATAACCCTAGTGATAAGAATTTGACATCATGATTTAAAATTCCTGGGATCAATTTCTACTAGAGAATATTTAAGGTAAGAATTCTCTTATTTTTCTCTCACACTTTCAATGAGTTGAGTAACACTAAATTAGATTGACAGTTTAAGTTGTACATATTGGTTCGGTAACATCATTTTATTCTATTTTTTTTATTTTATATATATATAAAAATAAAATCATGAAAATGGCCTTTGGCAAAATCAAATTAAACTTCAAAATAAAGCATGGTGGATTGTGGGGTGAAGTTTTGAAAAAGCGACAAGCATGGTTTGCATTATTGACCTATTCTATTTTCTTTTCATATGGAAGATTTAACTCATTTAAGCAAATATACTTAAAATAGTTGTGTATTGTGTAAACTTAAAAGCCAGTGCTAGGGGTTTAGATGCACCACAGCACCACTGTATAAATGACAAAGATTGTTTGTAACGAATGACGCAAAAAAACACGAAAAGGACTTTTCGGTATCCAATTAGCTTCAAACATGGTACATAGAGAGCTGTAAAGATATATACTTTGAGGAAGCTATTAGTATCAACTGTCAAAAGAAAAGTGACTTTGTGCTAGATTACGTCTCCCATTAGCATGCAAAATCCTTTTGATCGAGAGTTGACTGGTATTAAGAATTCCAATCTTAGAACCTTTAATCATAAATACGTACCTAAGGTCTTATCGATCGTCTACCCCAACATGTTTATTATACACAAGTACATGTAGTTAAACTACGTAACTAGATTAGTTTACTTGTGAAAGGTCTCGTTTAATAGGATTGATCTTTCTAATCTCAAACTGGATCGGATATGTTCGGTGTATCTATAATACTAGCTATGTGTATATAAGAAAAATTCTAACGTTCAATACGTACAAATTTGCCACGTAGGGTGTCTATTTTTATCATCTAAGGGAGCTAGAGAAATTAAACTTGACCATGGATTCTGTGAAAGGGCAGGTCAAGCTTTAGCTTGAGATGAGATATGTTGCGTATAAGGGAGAGGAGTATATCTACCAAAGTGAATTAGTGATCCAATTTAATGATATACTTGGTATATATGCTACCTGAACTTGTAAAATTTAGCTTTAGGCTTAATGCTTTTCCCATGTTCATCTATTGAATTCTAATTGGTCTAAATTTGTAGGCTTAGAGTAGAAGCATATCTAGGGTTGCAACTTGTAAAATACAAAGATATGCTTTAAGTAATTATATGACATCAGTGCTTGCATTATCAAGATTAAAGTGAAATACGAATAAATATGAATATAGAAGATCATGTTAATTTGTTTGTTTTACATACTTATTTTGGCTTATGTCAAAACTCAAAACAATAAGGTATTAAGGTTCAATAATAATAATAAATAAAATAAAAAAGGATTAGATAGATACAAATAAATTGGACATGATGATGATCGATTGATGTTTGTACATAGCTTCTTGATGACGATGACAAAAAGATAATGATTATTACTCCTCGTCTCTCAGCTCACTAATAATTTTTTAGTTGATCTCGATCTTAACATAATTTAAAAATTCAATAGTTTGATATTCAGAACTTGCGTTGGCTCGGGTTAAACTTGAGCTTGACTTTAACCCAAGATTGGTTTGACAATAAATGTTGATTGTTTTTTTTTTTAAATACATGTTTGAGCTAAGACATGATCGGCAGACCATGTTAAGCAATGTCAATCTCATCTCATTATTAGTACCCTAATTTAACCCTATCTTCACGAATGAGTTTGGCTAGAAATCATTTGACCACCACAAAACGACGATATGATGATTATGATAGCTAATATAAAACAAAAAGTTACTATTACATATTTATGATATTTGAAACTTGATTCTTAATAGCCAGGCTAAACATGAAGCATTAAAGCATTTTTTTTTTTTTAGGAAAGCATTAAAGCATTTTATAGTGAATGGATATTTGCATTAAAAAAAAAATAGTGAATGGATATTATATTATTACTTAAAAGTAGTCAAAGTAATATCCACGAGAGTAAAGAGAGGTGAAAGACCTTTGAATTTCAACCAAAAGAACGTCAAAAACAACTCTAACAGAATCCATCCTATATTTAAGAAAACTCCCCACCAAAAACTATTTACCATGTCATCAAAACGTTAATTAAAGTGATTGTTAGTAAAAAATTTCCCCTTTTCCCCCTAAAATTAATTAAATTACATAAATAAAAGCAATTTATAAGATAAGGATTTAAGGTTGAGCTAAATTGTAGGATTTTACCCAGCATGTTCTCAGGAGGTGACGGCTCACGTACGGACATGCCTAATTCCATCCAAATATCTATATTTGCCTTCTTCTTCCCCTTCAATCCTCTATGGTTCTTATTACTTCTTTTCTCTCTCTTCTTTTTCTCTCTAATGAAGCTTTGTGTTTTTCTCTATTTCACTCTTTACCCTCTTTACATACACATATAACATAGTAAAACTTTTTTACTAGAACATACATATTCATTTTTAACCAAATGTGCCCTAGTACACTTTTCTCACTCGAGAAGAAATGATCGTTTTTTCGATACCAAGAGAGATTGTTGATCATGTCTTTGCAAGATGTCATCGACCCTCCTCCTCCTCCGCCACCTCATTCTTCTTCTTCTTCTCCTCCTCTTCCTTCATCACGACCAACAGATGATCACATTTCTGGCCCCTTAATTGTAATTCTTCTAATTAACAATTTTTTTAATATATAATTACCTATATTTTAATTTTTTTTTAAATTTATTTTTGTGTTGCATGAAAAATGACAATGCATTTGAATTTTTATTAACAAATGCTTGATCATTATTCGTCTTAAAGGTATGGATTAAGAATTAATTTTATCTTGAAAACTATGTATTTCTGAAATTATTTTAGAATTAATGCATTTTATAGGTGATAAAATAGTTTAATCTAGTAACTTTTTTTAAAGAGCATGAATGTGGAATGTAATAGGTGGTGGTTGCGTGTTCGAAACCTATTAGTTGTAATAAAAAAAAGCGTGATAAAATCATAGCATACATAAAAACAAATTATTGCTCTAAGTAAGAGCAATTTGAACGTATTCATTCCATTAATAGTCATATAATCACTTTGCAATAGATTGTTATGGGATCATTTTAGTTTGTGTAGTTCACTTGGATGTTCCTAATTGATATAAATGAACAAAATAAATAACAAAGAGTTTATTAATTTTGGCATAAAATAGACTTTCTAAGTGCCTTTTTAATTCCATTTTCACACCCAAGTCTAGTCATTTTCTTATATGGCTACATCTACAACCAAATTCCAATATTCCTTGAAATTTCTTTTTCTTGTAAAAATGGTAGTACAATTGTGTTTCTTAATCTTATCTTGGTAAAAATCAAGTTCGTTCTTGCTTGCCACATTGCATGGAACATAAGATAGAGTGAATAAGTAGTCTAGTTGCTATTAATACCCATAAATAGATCATTTTGATGGGCTTAACTTTCTTTTTTTGCTCATGATTAGAAGGGAAATTAAATCTTCCTTCTTTGTATGGGTGAGTTCACACAGCAATGATGTGGAATGGTATAGAAATTGACAAAGATGTTGCTTATCATTGCAATTTAGGGGTATAAAAACACTACATGTTATGCCTATTAGTAACTCTACTTGACATGTTTTTAGAACATAAGACCTAGGTTTGCCTTTTAGTGCTAAATATCCTGCATGAACGGCATTGAGAGGCTAGCTCTCTATATAGGTCGTTGGTGAAGCTTCAATCGCAAACTAAAATAGCATTCAACATGAGAAACTCAAAGGACCAGAAGGTGATTTAAAGTTTTATAACGTGTTAGAAGCTTTTTGTTTACACCTATTAACATCAGTTCTTTTTTAATTGGATGTAGGATGATATTTCGATCCCCAACATCAGCGCTCAAATCTTCGACTTTTGTAACACCGACCTATTCACTGATACCTTACAAAACTCTGAGGTCACTTCTAGTCCTAATTGTTATTGTTATGAGGACCAGAACTCTTCCTATGCTAGCGCGGTAGTTGATGAAGATAACAAGAACAAGTTTAGTACCGAAAACTTAGACATATATAGTAGCTTACAAAATGATCAAAATGCTACCAACGCTAGTACCTCCGGCAGCACCACCACAACCGCCAATACCATAGTGCAAGACCGTCACAACAACCACCATAGTAGCGGCCTCTCTATAATCTTCGACCCCCGAGAAGAAATCGACAATGACATATCGGCCTCAATCGATTTCTCCCCCTCTCCACCCTTCTCCACAACCCCTCCATACAACCTCAACCCAACCAACACCCAACAAGACCAATACCATCATCTATCCTTGAATGATGTTGCAATAAGCAATAGCCTTAACCAATACCCTAACACAGTTGACCCTGTAGCACTCCCCCTCATGGCGGTGGTCCCACCGCCTTTAGGCCCGGTTTTCGAGGATGATTGCCTATCATCAATCCCACCTTTCCTAAGGCTAAACCCATCAACAGGTGCCACTACTACCTCTTTTCTTGACCCTTCAATGAGCTCTTTCCTGCATGGGAATCTAAATCATGGATTAGGCGCTGATAATTCCGGTATATTCGCCGGAAGCTTGTTAATGGCATCGGATTTACAACCAAAAGAACTGGATTTTCAAGCAGATAATAGTGGAATTTTCTGCCCTGATCAATTGCCTCGTTATAATTCAGGGGATATGCAGGTTTTTATTTTCCCTTTCATATTTACATTAAATTAAAGCCTTAATCCTGAAGGATGGGGTCGACTACATGAACCAAGAATTACACGTCTTTTATGTTCATAAAAATCGACGAAAAAAGGGTTAATTAACATGTTTTCTTGGATTTTGGACTGTTTATTTGTAGGCATTTAGCAATGAAAACTCGCAGTTGGTAAGTGCAGCAACAAGTTCAGCTCCAATGACAACAGAAATAGGAAATTTGGAAGAATCAAGCTTCAAAGTTGGCAAACTATCTGTTGAACAGAGGAAAGAAAAGATTCATAGATACATGAAGAAAAGAAATGAAAGGAATTTCAGCAAGAAAATCAAGGTTCATTTTTTTCTTTATTATTCAGCAAATTTCCTCCTTAGTAAAGGATTATAAACATGTAAAATTTGTTGCAGTATGCTTGCCGCAAGACATTGGCGGACAGCCGGCCTCGGGTCAGAGGAAGGTTTGCAAAGAATGATGATTTTGGAGAGAATAATAGGCATATCAACAACAATGAAGATGATGATTATGATGATGTAAGTTCTCTATCTTTGAAAAGTTCGGATCAGGTCGAGTCATATGTCTAACAAGGTTGTTTGTTCCGGTTATATTCAGGTCGAATCCTGTGTGGTGAATAAATAAATACTCCGTAACTAAATAAATTATATTATTATTTCGTGTACAACTTGGGTTTGAGATAGGTAATTCAGATCTAGTTGTTTCGGATGAAAACAATCGAATCTCGGAAGATCCTTTTATCTTGAGGGAACTTGGTCTCGGTCCGAACGACGCAGGAGCCGAGGGTTTCCTGCACAACAAATACACGCAAACTAGCCTCGGGGGGGACGCCGAGGAAGGCCCCTCCGATGCTTAAGTCAGTATATTAGAGAGAGAAAGCTGTGCAAGAGTTTAGTTGCTTGAGGCTTTATTGTCTTACCAAGAATTGACCAAATTGTTGGCTTTTATACCTTGGCTAATGAAGGAGGCGGATTGGGCCCGGAAGTCAGTTGGGCTGGGCCAAGCTGATTGGGCCGTTGACTGACCTTGACATGGCTTTGAGGATGTTTGATTTTTGACTTTAGCACATTTGGAGAGTTGAACCTTAACCTTGGGCTTTTAATTGGATCATTCAGTGACCAGGCCCAATTGGACTAAATTGGACCCAAACAACTTGCCCCCCAGACCCGATTTGGAAGGATGACGGGTCGGGTTTGATTTAATCAGAAAAGGAGGGAAGTGAATGATTTGTTAATCCAAAAATGTGAATTTAAACCGTAATTAACCCATGATTAATGAGATAACAACAGTTAATGTGGATAATTGCGGAAGTTGGACGGGTAGTGGGCGACTTAACTGCAAGGTCGTGTGTTTAACGGTTACTTAGTGGGGTGCTTGAGAGAAATTGAAACGCAGACTCCTTGAATTCCCATTTCTGGAGATATAAATAGAGGCGCGTCTTCTCTCCCCACTCATTCATCAACACAAACCCAGAATTCTCAAGAACGCTCAAGAGCCCGCATCAAAACTTCGCAAATTCCCCGAGCATTAAGCTTAGAAGCTGAGACTTGTCACTACCAATTCGTAAATCGGCGACTTTTGCTTCAGATCAAGGTAAATTCCTTTGATTTTATTTCATTTTTCTTCGACTTTGCACTCTTTCCCCTTTTTCGACTTTTTCCTTCGAAATTCGTCAATGGTGAGGGGAGTTAGAGGTGGAGCCCGTGCTCCAAGGAGAGCAAGGCTAATCCCCGATCCCAGGGACAGGATTGGGACCTGGAATGGACGAAGGACAGAGTCTGACCCTGCTGAAGGGGTTAGGGCGACTCCCATTTCTTCGGCTCCTCCTCAGAGGGCTGAGGGGGTGAGCGCTTCAGGACGGGATGATGAAGTTCCCGCTGTCCTTTGGGATATCCTCCCAGGGTTTTCAGAGTGGGAGGATGCCGAAGTAGCTTCGGCCATGATAAAGAACCGCCCCTACTCATGGTGGGTGGAGAATGCTGATCAGTACCGGTTTGCCGAGCAAATTGAGTTGCACTACGGCATTTTTGAAGCTGATGGATATTGGTGCCGAATGCCCTCAGCATCTGATAGAATCCATCGTCCACCCCCGGGGTATGTGGGGGTGTACACGAGACAGCTTCAGTATGGGCTGAGGTTCCCTTTGGACGTTTTCGTCCGAGACTTGCTGATCCATTACAACATTTCCCTGTGCCAGCTGACCCCCACCAGCATCCGAAGGGTAATGACGTACTTATGGGTCTGCAAATTCTTCAGGTACGTGCCGAACCTGCATTGCTTCAAAAGGCTCCATCGGCTAGTGCCAAACATTCAAAGTGGGCACGGATGCCATGGCTCTGGGTGGTATCGGATTGAGTCTCGGCCCCCGTTCCTAACCATGTGGCCGAACGAATCTTCAGACAAGGACTGGAGAGGTCAATGGATTTGGGTTAGGGCACCCACGGAGCCGAGCCACCCTTACGTTTTCAGCGCTCCCCGGTATCTTGCCGAGCCGGATCCTGATATGGGAAGTTTAGGTCCTCCCGAAGATAGCGGGCCAGACCCGAACCTTAATCAGCAGAACATCTTCGGCAAGCTGCCGAACCGGGGAGGCAGCGGCCGAATGCAGCATATCCCGGAGACTTGGCTCCCCGATACGCACTATGTTTTCCAAGAGAATATGCTGGCAGCTGTCGGCCTCAGCCGAAAGTTTAGGGATGGTAATCTTCTTCGGCTGGGGCCGAGGCCTTTTAATTATCTCTTTTCTTCTTTCATTTTGCTTTCTTGTGATGTGCCGAACTAACTGAATTGACTTCTCCCCTTTTCTTTTTCAGAACGGGACGAGACCAACGTCGGCATTGATTACGCTCGCCTTGGCGTCAACCGAGAACGAGTCGTAACTGATCGGGCTCCCCCTATCACTGAACCAAGGCGCCGAGAGGTTCACCTAGACTCTTCCCACTTCCAAATTGAGGCTGTTGCTCTGTATCAGAGGCAGAAGCCTTGGTGGAAGAAGAGGGATCCCTTGTTTCAGCTGCTGGAAGAAGAAGCTGAAGCTGCCCGTACAGCCGAAGAGGTTGCACGGGTTATTGAAGCTTGTGAAGGTGGAGAAGGGTCCTCCAGAGTTGCTGAAGAAGCTGCGGCTAGGGCAGCTGAAGAAGACGAGGCTTTGCTGAAGACCTCGGTGAGCCTTTAGACTTAACTTTGTCTTTCTTCTTTTTTTTTTTTTTTACTCACACTCTTCTTCCCCCCTGTCTGTTACAGTCTGAAGAGAGTAACAGACACAGAGAAGGCAAAGCTCCTGTTCGTCCCGAAGATCAAATACAAGAGTCTTCAGACTCAGATATGGACGAGCAGCCTCTTCTGAAAAGGCGCCGAAGGATGGCCATCATCGGCCCTCATGACTTTCAGCAGAGGCCGATGACCATCGGCGTCGCAATAAGGGAACCTGAGGAAGGCAATGGATCGCCGAGGGTTCCCCAGCCAACACCCCAATCTCCTCAAAAGACCCCTCCGCCACCTCCCGAGATGGAGGTGGATCAGAGGACTCCCGAACCTAAGGGAGGGGTCCAAGAAGAAATCAAGGAGAGTGCTGCTGAGCACGGAAATAAAGATGCCGTGATGTCAAGTGCTGAAGGCTTCACGGCAGATATCGCAAGAGAGGTTGAGGCTTTCGTCCTCACCCCTGAAGAAGAGGAGGTCATAGTACTTGACTCCTCTGAGAAGGACGATGCTGAGACAACCAAAGCTAATCAAGCTCCATCGTCGTCCTTCCCTTCTTTCCAGACTCTGCATTCTGGAGAAATGGGTTTCTCGGCCCCCCGAATTCCAATCCCAGATCACATCTGGGACCTCATATGGGGTCAAAACCGAGAAGGAGCTGCAGCCTACTTCGGCAATTTTGCTGGCATGTCCGAAGTAGACAGGGCAAGGATCTGGTCGCTGAAGGCCACTGCTGGGATGGGCGAATCCAGTAGATCAGTTCCTGACCCAGCCAGGTCTAACCAACTGCTGATGATGCAGGTAATTTTCCTTCATTTCCTCCGAAACTCAGCTCTATTTTTTTTTTTCTTATTACTTATTTTTTTGTCTTCCTGTTTTCAGTTCGTGCACAATCAGACTCTCACTGTAGAGCTGATTGATACCCTACAAGATAGGGTAGACGCTGCTGTGCACGAAAGGAAGGTGGCTGAAGAGGAAGTTAAGCTTGCTAAGCTGAAGCAAGCAGCAGCTGAAGAGAAGCAGCAGGAGGTTGAGGAGTACGGTAAAAAAGCTGCCGAAGCTCTGAAAACCTTCTGTGATGCTATGGAGATGGAGGTTTTTCCCCCACTGATGGAAGGGGAAAAATTCCTCCAAGAGCACCTGGGGGTGGACATCTCCAAGTTCAAGGCTGCTATCGAGAGCCGAATCCAAGGAGCTGCTGCACAAGCTGAGGTGCAGCATCAGCTAGAATCTCTTGAAGCCAGCAGAATGGCTGCTGAAGAGATGCTCCAAGCTAGGGATGTCCAACTCTCAAGGGCTGCTGCTGCTGCTGAAGCTCAAAGAGCTAAGCTACAAGAGGCTGAGGATCAGCTCACTGCCAAGAAGGAAGAAATGGTCCAAGTTCAGGCCGAGGCTTCCCAGGTTCAGCAAGAGTTTACCGAGCTGAAAGGCTCCTCCTCCAAGCTCGTCGATGAGCTGAAGAGATCCGAGGAAGACTTGGAGGAGACGAAGAAGAAGTTGGCCGACGCTGAGGCTCTACTCAAAGTCCGTATCTATACCCAAGAAGAGTATGAAATGGGTTTTAGAAACGGGTTCAGAGTGTGCCGAAGGGTCTGCCTTCATGCTGAGCCGAAGCTGGACTGGTCCAAATGTGCTGAATGGGAGCTGTATCTATACTCAAACCCTCACATGAAGTATGCCACTCCAATCGAAGCTGAAATCCTTAAGGCTGAGGAAGCCGAGGAAGAAGCTGAGAGGATGGAGTTGGAGGCTGAGCAGAGGGAAAGGGAGGCTCGGCAGAGTGCAAAGCCTGCTTCTTCTGCTGCTGGAGCTGAGACCACCATTGGGCCCAATGAAGCTGATCAGTCTGATCCTCAGGCTGAAGCATAGGAACTCGGGCAGTCGTCTTCAGAATCTTGCGGTTCATCATGCGCTCAACTTTAGACTTGCCGCTTTCTGAATTTTTGCCTTTTGTTTTTTTTTGCTTCAGCTTGCCTTATCGTACAACAGCTTATTATATTTTTATTTTGCCTGTACGTATTTCGGCAGCTGTTACTTTCCGCTTGTGGGCGGCTGCCGACTATTTTTGTAATTCAACATTTTTATTTCAAAGAAGTTCACTTTCTCAGCTTTCTTGTGTATTTATTTCTCTTCGCTTTACCAGTCTTCGCACTTTACTGCTTTCTTTGAATGATCTTTCAAATATTTGCTAAGTGCAGAACTTCGGCTAGCGAGAATCATTTCTGCTGAGACTTCTTTTTGCCGTTTGTACTCGGATGTTTTCAACTTGTGAAAAAACTGACATAAGTATCAAACTTCGGCTGAGCTGAAGGGTATT